GTCAGGAGAAGCAGGGTCAACATCCCGGGCTAGAGGAGATGGCGGGATGGAACCCTCTTTCACCCAAGGGCGAATGAGAAGGGGGAACAAGCGACCAAGAGATAAGAACTTTGACTGATAAATGATGGTCTCGAGGGAAAGACCTCTGTCGAAGTCCCGCCTCTTGTTCGCGGGAAGTAGAGCGTAAAGAACATTATTTTGCTTCTTCACAGTGCGATACTCATCGCGGAGCTCCTGGATCTCTCCTTGCGTGCTCTGGAGAACCTATAGTATTGAAATCGCTTTGAGTGACAACATATGAAGATCAATGACATTTAGTACATACCTTTCGAAGCTGAATATGACCACCACCACCAGCAACTTCTTCAATGGCGGCTAAAGCCCGAGAAAAGCGCTGCTCAATCTCATCGTCATCATCAATCTCTAGCAGCGCCCCGGGGTCCCCTTGAAACTCCTCCTCGTTGCCTGTATCGTCAAGCGCCATAAAACCTATACACTTTAGCTCTAGGTAGAAAAAACAGTGGATAGCAATCAATGTCGAACTCACAAGATGCTGAAAAGAAGGACAGGCACTGGGGGAAGATGGCTCGACAGGAAAGAACACAATCACAACAAGAAGCACAAGTTTAACGGCGGCGTAGAAGAAAAGAGGTAAACAGAATGTATGGAGCCCCTCCGAATCGGCGACCAGGAGGAAAGAGAAGCTGAGGGACTCGAACATCAAAGTCTCAACTTAAATATGTGTTTCTGAGAGTGACGCGATGTCACGTAGGCAAAGGACTTCAGATCAGCACCTCTGGATAACGACTGGAATGGAGCACAAACTTACTAATGTGATAGCTCTGATGGTTTCAGACAAACAGTTAACACAGACAAAAAGGATATCACCGATCAAAATGCTGCACATAAACAAGACCAGACGCATACAGTTCATGTCGTCTAGTCAGCACACACGAGACTTCAGGTGTAAAGCCCATAGTATGCACACGGAGCAGCAGCCGGTGAGCCAATCACTATGCTCAACTGCTGTTCAGCTTGGCAGAGTTGAGCTCGGCATGGACATTCACTTACTCATTTACCGATGTTGCCGCTGCTCGTGCTCGCGCTTGGACTGCGTCTGCGGGGGCTGCATCATACCGTCCAAGAAGCCGTCGGCTCCATCTATTCTGCCTTGCTGCGAGAGGTGTGATAACGTGTGAGGCGTCATCGGCAAGTACACGCTATCAAAGGGTGAGTGCATGGTCTGTGCAATGAAGCAGACTGGCAAACGTAAATGAGAAACTGCTCTGCAGAATAAGCTGCATCAGCACGTTGTACAGACCTTAGATAAAACAAGTTCTGATCGACCTACCGCTACGGAAAGCGCTGGAACGTTCCAGCTCCTGACACTGCAATGTGATTGTGCACAATGAAAGCAGAAATAGATTAATAGCTTGTACATTGAGAGGGATGTATGTAGTGCATATACACGTAAAGAGAAATGTGCGCACAGCGAAGTGATGACGTCATGATAGATGGTAAAAGGTATCCGTAATTACACACGAAGGGATGCCTGTCAGCATGTAGTGTGCTTTATGTGAGGGTACCGGACCGGTTCGACGAGATGAAGTGATCAGCCCAAAGGTTAGAACTTCGCTAAAATAGAACGTACGCAAGTAATTATAACAGCAGGCTGAAGCCGTAACCGCACCGGCAAAACATAGGATGATATATGAGCGGTCATCAGCGTGCAGAAAAACTAATAAAGACATGAGGCGTACCATTTTATCGGCTCCATTTTTGCATACGAAGAAACATGTCCCCGTCAATGTACGTGTTGACAAGGAACTCGTTCGTCGATTTGAAATCAGGAACAAGCATTGCTCCTCGGACTATCAAATCAAGTGGGATTACAATGGCGGATTTGCGAGGCGCTGCCTTCACGCGAATGAATCCAAGGTCCTTGTCGACCTTCTTCTCTAGGCCTGGGAGACCTGCGGTATACGGGTGCACAAGCGCTAAAGAAAGCGGCTCTGACAAACCAGGAAGCATGATCTTGAAGATGATAACAAAACGTACAAAAGCCTGCTCGTCATCGGATATCTGCACGAGCGCACAGTCATAACGGGGATGACCGTGGAATGATGGATGACACCGTAGATAATCCGTGCACTGGCGCCAGTGCTCCGAAGATTCATAATTGACTTTAAGGAATCGGAATTCGGTGAGCTGGTGAATATATAGTATGAGATATATTCGAGGGATCAAAGAACATGAAGCGCGCACCGTATCACTCCGATTAATCGCCTGCCACCAATTCCGCTGCTCTCTATACATCTCCATTCCAGAGTAGTTTGGTAGTCTGAAATTTACGAAGTCCTGTAGCGCATGCGGCAGTTGTTTGAGTGCGTCGTCGTTGGGATTAGCGGCTTGTATTGCCTGGATAGTAGCCGCAGGTTGCGGTGAACCGATGTGGAATTTTTCTGGGAAAGACGTGAACATGCTGTACTCGTCACCTTCGTCGTTATCTTCGGAACGGTCTTGAGCCGAGATCACGGCTTCATATTCATGTATTCGACTGAAGAGGAGGTCTATGGCCAGCCTATGTTGATCTATGCGCAAGATCTAATCAAGGAATGAGTGAAGTTCGTGTAAAGGAAGACCATAACACGTGAAAACTTGTATTACCTGATCAGCGATATTTTTCCCGTTTGTATGGCCGTATGCAGCCTTGAGAAGCGAATGCACTCCCTCGTTTGGATGGGTGCTGTAGTTACGGCTTGCGCCTTTGTTTCGAATATCCTCAAAGGCGTGCTTGAAGTAGTGAGCCTTCGGGAAGTTCCAGTCGAGCTTGAGATCGGGTATATCGGACTTCTTGGCAAGCTCGATATAATCCTAATGTATGCGTGGTGTGAGGGTATCTCAGTCTATGGAGCACCTTGTAAATATTATGGAAACTCACCTCCAAGAGTTTATTAAACCTCTTAAGCTCGGCTTCGCCGGCTCTGAGGGTTTCTTCTGTGTGGACATCGAAGCCGATATAACAATCAAGTTCCAAATAGCTCCTGATGAGCTGGAGCAGAGCGTATCCTTCAGGCGATGTGCTCGGAGTCAAGAGACTCTGAGCAGCGAATAGTGTTTGCTAGACAACTAGATTAGTAGCGAAGTTAGCACACTAGCAAATTGATCCGACCTTTGACATGTCATTGAACTTGTTGCCGTCTGAGAAAGACGTGTTTACTGCACTACTAAAATGATTCAGGTTTCGCCATCGGGGCATCCGATCAAAGCTAGGAATATCATTGTGTTAATTGTCTTTTGGGATTTGTGATAGCATTGAACTTACTGGTCGTCGAATTTGCCCATTGTTCCTCCAACCTTCGTACTACTAACATGCTTAATTATAGTCTGCAGCTCGGGAAGAAGATGTCGCCCGAATATGCCGCCGTGGCAAAAGTGCAGGCGGTCAAATGACAGCGCTTCATGTGGGTTCGAGTGTTTTATATCATAGAATACGTTCTGTGTAACATGAGCATTTCAGTTCTTCCAGAATTCACGCTCGAACCTACCTTGCCTGGCCGCAAGCCATATCCCTTCAATTCCTGTTCACCGGCGCCCTTACTGACGTTAGTATACGTGGCCATCGCGTCGCGTCCTTGCTGAGGTGTGCGGTACTCGTATGTCGTCTGAGAGTCATGGAGGTTTTCCCTTGGTATAAGGCAAACAGGACACGGGCATTTTCCCTTGGGCCCACGAATGAGTGACATGATACATCTAAGTTTAAACGAAGTCAATTAGTACTGATCATTTGAGATAAATGAATACACGTTACTGCTCTTCATAATCAGCCGAAAGCATCAATATTACCGGGAATAGTACACGGTTTATACCATCGTGACAATGGTGAAATAGGCCGGCTTCGGAATACAATTCTATATCTGACAAAAAGTTCCTGAAAGCCTCGTGCCACACGACGCGTTTGAAGTCGGTGTACGTCCGTTTCCCTTCTTTCTCGGGATCGTTCTTGAGCTACAGAGACGCGCATCAAGGCCTATAAAAACCAGTCAAGGAATGGAGCCACTTACGATAGGCAACCAGCCAACAACGCGCGCACCCCCGACCCCATTCCCATTGCGGATGGAAGACAGAAGATTGCAGCATCTTGCTATCACAGGATAGCCCTGCACCGTTCCAAAAGACGACAATCTCGTCTTGTCGGCATAAAGCAGTATAGAGAACGGTGCAGGGACAGCATTAGGTACCTCCGGCAAATCAGTCTATGTTATATTTGTTATCAGTGACATATATTCGACGGAACCTTCGAATGCAACGAGGATGACAGACCTGTATTTTCCACCACCTGTCAGCTGTCCAGGGCTCGTCATAGAGCCGTGTAAACGTTCCGGAGCTATTGTCTCGTTTATATATTTTTTGTGCGTCCCATTCGAAATATGGCGCGAGTGATTCATTATCGAGGAGCTCTTTCGCCCACTTCCAGAGGTCCCGTTTGTGTATATCTACTGGTATACTTGTCTTCTTGTAAGGTACATCAATCGTTTGTTTTTCGATCTGGTCAAATAGCAAGAATGGGCATACATTAGAGTAATGAACTCGATCTACGCTACAGGACATATCATGATAGTGCTTACAGGAGTCAGCTCCTCGGCCGCTTTGTCACATACTGATCGCAATTCATCGTCATTCTTGAACGATACCTTTGCGGCCCCTGACTCCACCTTGCGCATGAGACCCAACAAACGATCCACGATGTCCTTCGTAAACTCCCCATCGATGGCGATGGAGGCGAACTCGCAGTCGGCACGCGATTTGAAGGGTTGCCAAGGTTGCGAGGAGTCGTTATTAGAGGCGGGGAGCGGATGTGTCGTGTTACGAAACTTGTCCCAGGCCTCGACCTTCTCGGCGCGTTGGCTGCGGTGGTGGTATTCAGTTTTAAACTCCATATTTGAAGACGAGGAGGCGGCAGATGGACCAGTCGCGGTGTAAACGATGCTTCACATGCTTGCGTCCGACTCAGAGCCTACCGGGACAGTTCTGTATTATAATTCAACAATCGAACGGTTAGAATAATGCACGTACGAAGTCTAGCCGCGTCTTCTTCGGGAGCATCTAGAGGCACAGGGCTCTCATCAATGCTCCCGCGAGGGAGGTTATGGTCATCGTCGTTGTGGTGTTGGTTGAGAACTTAATCGCAAGTCAGTGATGGTGTAAGAGGACACGATAGACGCACCGTCATCAGGGGTAGGGACGTGAGTAGAGATCGAGGGCGCGAGGGCAAAAGTCGAAATTGAGGGCGCAATATGCAGACCCGTGGTGCTCCATGACGGACCAGCTTGACGTGAGGGTCCCACGGACGCGCGTTCAGCCTGGATTGAAAGAAGACGAGCTTCAATGTTCCTGAAGGTTAGTACACAAGTACGAAGGGGGGAGTGACCAGAGAAAAGATCACTTACATTCACGCTCTAACGTTGCATGCCTACTCGATATCTCGTTACGATGCCGACTCTCCTTCCTACGCTTTTCGCACGTCGTCTCATGCATGTATAGACCATTGGGGTGAACTCTCCGAGGACAGTACTTACAGCCCACCTTGCCGTCTGGGCCAACGGCATTGGCTGCTGAAGAGCCCTCCGGCGGCTTCCTGTCTTTCTTCTTGCCCGAAATGCCTGAAGAGGCGCGTGGCATAGCGGGCGGGGAAGTGCGAGTACGTTTGGTATACACAGAGTTCACCGCTGCGGGAAACGGGAGGCGAGTGTTGACAACGTTGAAGGTGCGGGGAAAGGGCTGTCGATCGATCAAGGGAGAAGGCTGTCAGGGCTAAGGCCAAGATCAGGATCAAGCCGGGATGCCGTCCCGACGCCTGGAGTCGCGTGGCGATGACTTAGTCATGGTCTCAATGCATCAAGACCGGGCCTCGTGTGTCCAGACGGCATCGCCACGCAGGCCCCGCGTCGGCCGGCGCCGAGACACTGAGGTGCCTGTCCCTCGCACGTTTTGACGGTGTTACCACGGAATCCTGACGACATCTTGACAACGTCACATCGGCTATTCGCGTTTTGCGTCAGAACGCCCCTTTTGGGTTTTCCGACAAATGAGGGCGTGCGCACCCTGATCAGAGCGCTGCCGCCTGATGTGCAGCGTGTTATCCGCGAGCATGAGAACGCGGGTACAATGGATGATCCAGAGTACCAGCGAGCAGGTGCACTGTTTGACAAGAGACACATGTGCGTCGTTGATCCGCTGCCCAAGTCGTTGCAGGCGGCTTTCGTCGAAGCTAGGAAGGATACGACGGTGAATCATTCAATGTTCGTTTGCACTTTAGCTACTATCTCGAACTCTATTACTCACTTTTTGCCCTCAGGAACGGTCAACGCAAGTTTGAGAACAATGGTTCGCTGAAGGACTACAGTATTATTGAGAATTTATACCGCATCGAGGTGCCGACGTTGGTGCTCAACGGACGGTACGACTCCATGGTGGACAAAACCGTCAAACCATTCTTCTGGCGCATTCCGCAAGCCAAGTGGGTTCAGTTTGCGGAGTCGTCCCATACCGCGTATGTGGAGGAGCCGGACAGGTTTTTTGAAGTCGTTGGTCGGTTTCTAGAGTTAACTCCTATTTGAGATTGTAAGTATCTATGCACGCAGAGACTCGGTACGTTATGATTCCTGCCCAAAGTTCACGTGTGAACAGGATCTATGACGGTAGCGATGAGCGCAAGACATGAGCGCCCAAGTCCAAGTGAGCGTCAATAAGTTGTCACGAACTTATTGAGTCCGTCAAGCACAGCCACATGGTCTACGCAACTCCAAAGGGGGGAATTTTGTTTGCGGTCGACGTGTTCTCCCTTTCTTGTTACTGCACTGTCAATGCACGATGATGTTTGTTACAAAACCTTGAACTTGCCTTCCAATCTCGCATATAAATCGGAGGGCACTCGGACCTAATACCATTGCTCGCAACAATCCTCGTTGACGTTGCGGCCGCATCGACCTTGGGCGCACTCCGCATCGAGCAGCTGAAGGCAGCACATCCTCTTGAGGCTTACCTCTGCCGGACGCTTGATGAACGAAGAGAAACGGAGGTGGGAAGGGACGTTGGTTTCAAGAGGCCAACGTGCGTCTCCATACTGTAGTCTATATGGTTTCCGTTTGTCCAAGCAGCCACATCAGAGCACGATGCCACCAAACACGGTTCAGGAGCCTGAGAGAGGCTCTCTCAAGAGTGCGTACATGCCGCAACGTTTGACTCCCCTGATCGCGTCCCCTTCTCCACCTGTCTTGAGAATACTCGCGTCGACCTCCTGCGCGCTCTTGATGACACCACATCGCAACCAGAGCCTGGCATTCTTTGGCTCTCCGGGGAGTCTGGATCGGGCAAGTCCTCCGTCGCCCACACGTTCGCTGACAGTTTGCATTCGAAAGGCAAGCTCGCTGTCACTTTCTTCTTCTCAAGGAAGGACATCGATCGTCGGAACCTCAATCGATTCTTTGTCACTATAGGATACCAGCTCGGGTTGGCCCATCCTCGCGCCAGAGAGGTTGTCATCAAAGCTATCGATAACGACCCCGCACTTTTACAGCTCGGAAAGTCCCGCCGAGACCAATTCAATGCCTTCGTCCTCCATCCTCTCAAAACACTAAGGCTTCAGTGGCAGGAGAAGCGTACATTCGTGTTTGAAGCTCTCGATGAGTGCATTTCAGTAGTGCGTCGAGACACTCAACTCAGCCAGCTTTTCGCTTTCTTCGTTGCTGCGCTGCGCGATACCACCGTGCCTCCCTTCCATATCGTCCATCACAGAAAGTGCGGCCGGACAATCGACCACTGTGGCCGTTGTCAGAACCGGGTTGACCTTATCATGAATTCTGAGAGATTACATTCGTATACGAGCTCTTGTAGAACATATCGGAAGTCTGCAGAATTCGAATCGCGTCTGCAAGGCGCTGTGAAGTTCATGCTCGAATTGTAAAGCAATGTGAACTTTGTCTAAATGGGGTGTCGTTTGACAAGACATCAAGTTAGCTTGTCATTATCACTCTATCTATGTCGCTGCCTTGCCAGAACCGTGTATGTTTGACAAGACTACTCACACGCCGACAACGGGCTTGTACGCGCTGGCGCACTACTCCGGGCTAAGGTTAGGGTTAGTAACCCACAAATGAACAACTCGTGTTTCTGACAGCGTGTGAGGTGGGTTTTGGTTTTTGGGGCCAAATCCAACATGTGCTGTCAAAGGGAAGCCGCCCAGAACAAGTGTTCTGCCCAAGAGCGTTTTCCTGTATGTGTGACAGCACATGTGGAGCGAAGAAACAACAGGGACTCGGAATTAGAGAGATAATTGACAGCGTCGCAAATTCAATTTCAGACTCCGATGACAAATGCGGCAACTCCCCTATATTCTATTTGCGCGACCATCCGAAATCAACCACACAACACAAGCCAATATATATACTGTATAGCGTAGATTCATTATCCCAGAATGTCTGAATGCAGAAGTAGACAGCTCATGATGGTTCGGGAGTTTCGGGAGAAGCAAGAGAACCAGAGAAGCGGGAACGGGTGAAAGGACAAAAGGGCGTAGAAGAAGCAGAAGGACTTTGGAATGCCAGAGTTTCTGGTACTTAAGAGACGGGCATCTCTCGCCTGATTTCGTCTCGTCGGCAACCTTCTCCCCGCCATGATGCACCACCCTCTTGCCACCTGTCACCTATTATTATTATCACTATTATTATTATGTTATGTGCATTTCTTGCACGCTTAGTCATGTACACCTCGCTTTGTATGGGCCTTATGCTCACCTCCGCTTTGTGTACTCCCTTGCATTGTCAGCAGCTACCCTCTGGGTACCCTTCTCTTAATCACGTATTATTGCTGTCGTACATTAGTCGGGTTCAAGTATGATATGACAATGCATGCCAATAAGAAGTGTGCTATAATTGTAATTTTTGGCTCATAAGAGGTGTGATTAATATATGGCCACTGTACTCATGACGTTGCACCCGGACACAGTCACTATGCCACCTACAAGGGCCACAGTGCCTGTAAGCAGACCCAGCCTTGTAACATCACTCGGGTGTTGACACGGTCGCTTCAACTTCTGTCAAATCCTCCTCATCTTGTCAAAGTTGAAGCTGCTTTGTTTGACTTGTGAGGTACCCTAAGTTACTCCGGCTGCTGTGACCCTTGTAAGCAATTATGGACCTTATTGTCGGCATGTAAGCCCAGCGCACTTTTAGTGATGTCGTCACTAGCCGCGTATATCCAGAGATAAACGTCATTATGAAGCGCCAAGACGTCACTGGTCTCATGCACTCGCTTTCCATAGAGGATTTTGATGCTCAACAGGACATCGAGATATTTCTTCGAGATTCTTGCGATTCCATCTACTACCGGTACGACCTCTCTGCTTTCTGCTCACAGCCATGGCCGTCAAAGCAAAACATGCGCCTCTTGCTTCAGCACGCGAGTCGCAAGTTCATCGTCGCAGCCACACTTGTTCGCTACATAGATCAGGACGACGCCGTCACACGATTAGCTTCCCTCATCCACATTCTCTCAGGGCAGCGTGTCGGCCGTGGGCATGGCATATACGAACTATACAGAAGCATAATCGAACACTCTGGCGAGGACCCTGCCAAATGTTACGAGTATCTCGGCGTTGTGGTAGCCCTAGCCCACCCCCTTCCCCTTCATAGTATCAGCTCCTTGCTCGAAGTAGGACGGCACAGTCTTCAAACCGTCCTCGAGGCGATCTCCGCCATCATATCTGTCCCTAGTCACCCTGCAGAACCCGTCTTTATCTTCCATCCCTCCCTTCGCGACTTCCTCACGAGCGAGAATTCACACCGCCATATCCTATCCTACTCGCATCGATGGCTTCTGTGCGGATGCTTGCGATTGATGATGCGGGAACTCAGAACAGACATCTGCAAGCTCGGTGATCCTACGATACTTCATAGCGAGGTAAACAGTTTTTCGGCAATAGTTGATGAGTCTGTTTCAAGAGCTCTGAAGTACGCTTGTCGCTTCTGGGTCTTCCACATGCAACACGTTATCCAAGACGATGAGATAATCTCTATGCTGAGAGTGTTCTTCAAGCAACACTTACTCCACTGGATCGAAGTTTTTTGCCTCATTGGGGAACTTGACGAAGCCCTCGTATGCGTAATAAATGCCAGAGCTGTCATTGATATACGTGTCCATTATTTCGGAAACACTGAGATCGAACCAAACAGAATAGGACGGCGGTGTGATTCGCAAGAGGTAGAAAAGAGTACAGGAGCGGGAGCGGGGTAGCTTAAGCTATCGAATCGTATCGTACGAGTCCGTGTATAAAAGGAAAAGAAGGAACTATTCCAATGGGACTGTATCGAGTAGGAAGGAAGTCATGGGCGAAGTATCGAGTAACCGAGATACTGAGGAAGAACGGAAGCAAATCAGAAGCAGAGTGAAATGTCGATCGAAGCATTTATGGAATATGAAATGTTGGTCGAGGTGGAGCGATCGAGGTCGAGTCCGAGATCGCCGCGGTTGTGGCGTCGTGAGCCGGCGGTTAGAGCGACGGGCTTACACTCCTCCCCCTCCTGAAGAAATGGAGACCGGGGGAGTAGATAGAGATGGGGCGGGAATGGGAGAAGGAATGGCCTGTAGAGAGGCCAGGTAGTTGTCCAACGCCTCACAGTCTTCAAGTTCGCGGCGTGGAAGCCAAATGTCTCCAGCGGGACCTTCACCTCGCCACCGAACGAGGTACTGAAATCCGCGTCCGCGAGGACGGTGGTCCAAGATACGGTCAACTTCGAATTCTTCTCCGTTCTCGGTGAGTACGGGAGGTGGAGCGGTATGAACGCGACCCGGGAAAAGGACGTCGTCGTTGGGTATGTGACGTTTAAGATGGGAGACGTGAAAGGTGGGATTAATGTGAGTAGCATCCGGAAGGTCGAGAGTGTAAGAAGAAGACTCAGCATGGGCAGCAACGATTCGGTAAGGACCGTCGTAGCGAGGCATGAACTTTGCCACACGCTTGATGCCCTTTTGAAGATATTCTCTGCGACGATTAGCAGTCGCGAGATAGACGAGGTCGTCCACATTATAGTGAGGATCGGGGTCACAATGTAGGTTAGCGGACAAGGCTTGCGAGGCCTTGGCGGCTATCAAGGAATCGTGTGCGTCAGCGACGTCATCCTCAATACCACGAATAGCACTTAACGCGGCAGCCAGTTCATCGGAGTGATCAAGTCGATCGGGAAGTAGAGGAGGGATGAGACGCGGAGAGCGTCCAAGATGGAGTTGAAAAGGAGAGTAACCGGTGGAAGCGTTAACAGTGCACATATAATTAAAACGCACGCGAGGAAGGGCAGAGACCCAGCCCTTCTGATGTCGTTCAACGAAGAAACGCAGAGATTGATTGAGGGTCTTGTTTGTCCGTTCACTAGCACCATCGGTTTGCGGATGATAACTAGAAGACATTCGAAGTTTTGTACCGGTTAGTCGAGAAAGAGTTTTCCAAAAGGAACTCAAGAATAACTTGTCTCTGTCGGAGACGATGTCGTCGGGTAATCCGTTCTCGCAAAACCAGTGGTTGAAGAAGAGTGAAGCGCATTCGGGAGCTGTAAGGTTCAACTTGCAAGGAATAAGACGGACGTCGGCTCCAACGCGATCTGTAATGGTGAGAATGCAGTCGAACCCTTGGTCGGGCGGTAAGGGCCCGACAAAGTCCATGGCTATACTAGAACCGCGTTTATCAGGAGGGGATAATGGGTGAAGAGGACCAGGAGGTTTGGATGTCGAAGACTTGTTGCGAGCGCACTCAGAACATGAAGGAAGGTAACTTTCCTCCAAGTCTCTGCGCATGTTCGGCCAGTAGAAGGATGTTCGGAGAGCGGCATAAGTTTTGTCAAAACCAAAATGCCCGAGAGTATTGTGAGCGAGGCGGAACAGATATTCGCGCAAGGAGGGGATGCGAGGAATGACGAGGCGATCTCCGATATTGTGAGCGACTCCTAAGGCGCGAGCCCAAGAAACCAACACACGCAAAAACTACAGAAGAAGGTAGACGTCGAAGCCCTATACAGGACGACGACGAGAGGAAAGGCGGGGCGGGATTGACTGCTCGCCGACGTGGCAAGACTAGGTGTAGAGCTGTTAGGAGGGATTCCCACAAGAACTCACTTAGAGTCTTGGGGCGATGGATTGCTCAGGTTATATACAAGTACATGATGTTTGGCTGGACCAAACAGACTAACTAATATGGTAATGACTGTGTGCGCACAGACCGAGCAGTGCGAGGTACTACTACTAATGGTAAACGAATGACGTAGGTGTGATGTCATGTATGACGCGTTGATGACGCGTTTATGATATCATGATGAAGTCATAAAGAATGTCCGGGAATGTTGTAGAAGGATTATGTAAGCCGGGTAAGTAAGGTAACCGAACCGGGTCATGTGACCGGTTATTGAAGTAGCCGGTCACGTGACCTATTGCACCAAGAAGTGAAGTTGCGACTTCAACGACGATGCGTGAAATGTAAGTAAAATAGATAGTGTCATGACTGGTCATGCTGTCGTGAATGCGATCGCGACAGATATACCAGAGGTCGTCTGAGTGTCGAAGACCGGGTAGGGAGTCTTGTAAGGAGGATAGTTTAGAGCACCAGGGATCCGTGTTGTAGCCAGAACGGATGTCTGACAAAAGGGTATTATCAGAAGATAGTGATAGAACTGAAGATATGCACGAGTTCGAAGCTAGGAAGGGCAATGGGAGAGAAGAGGTAGTATGAAGATACTCAGCTGTCAAATCCGGAGGGGGGAGACGAGAGAGAGCATCGGCAACTGTGTTATCAGGTCCGCGAATGTATTTGATTGTGAAATCATATTGAGCAAGAAATTCCTGCCAGCGAGCTTGTCGGCGAGAAAGGTCAGGCTGTGAAAAGAAATATTCGAGTGTCCGATGATCTGTGTATACAGTGAACGGCACACCTAACAGGTCTGTGCGCCATTTCTTGAGGGCTTTGACGATCGCAAAGAGCTCTTTCTCGTGGACAGGGTAGTTGAGTTCGGGACCGTGTAGTTGATATGAATAATAGGCGACCGGGCGTGAATCTTCTAGGGTGGGACCGAAGGAGAGATAAGCACCAGTCGTTTTGTCGCTCGCGTCGCAAGAGACATAGATATTGTTCGTATCGAGGGAATCATAGTCGATGACCGTTAAACAGTCTGTGCTGGTGACAAGACGCTTAATGTTATCGAAAGCGTGTTGGTGATCGTCGTTCCAGTGAGGCCAGGATTTTTCTGCATCCTTCGTAGTTAAAGGTGTCAGAATGCGAGTGTGTGTATTTAAATGTGGCAAGAACTTGTCCAGGTAACGGACAATGCCAAGGAATGAGCGAACATCACTAGCGTTTCTGGGAGTCGGCCACTCGAGAATTTTTGAGATTTTCGAAGGGTCCGCGCGGATACCGAGAGCGGAAACATGATGACCTAGAAATTCGACTTCTGAAGCGAAAAGCTGGGTTTTCTTCGGGGAACAGAAGAGACTCGCCTTTCGCAGAGCGTCAAGAACCAGTTGAACGTTCTTGACATGTTCAGCGACGGTGTTTGACCATATAATAATGTCGTCGAGATAGACGTGGCATATCTTGCCCACAAGGTGACGAAGAGCGGAGAACATTCGACGCTGGTGAGTAGCGGGAGCGTTTCGACCACCTTGAGGCATGACGGTCCATTCGTACAGTCCAAGGGGAGTCGCAATCGCGGTATACTTGATATCGTCGGGATGGACTCTAGTTTGGAAAAACGAATTAGTCATATCAATTTTTGCGAAGATTTTACCGTTCGCGCAATCGCGTAAGATATCATCAACACGAGGAAGCGGGTGGTTGTCGGGGATCGTGTTATCGTTGAGCTTGCGATAATCATAAACCTATAGAAGCTTCCAACGTTCTTTCTTCTTCACCCTCCTCTCTTTCCGATTTTGTTTTTATTTCTCCCTTGTCTCTCGATTCACAATGGCGCTCAAGGCGTCTTAAAGCTATTCTGGTTAAAGACCTAGCTGTACCCCTCCTACTGGGAGGGCCCTTCCTTTCTCATAACTCTCTCGTGATAGATCATGCCGCTCGCACTTGCATCGATAAAACGTCCTCTTTCGACCTTCTTTCTCCTCCTCTCTCAAGCCCCCCTTCACCCGTTGTACATCAGGAAATCTACACGCTTCTTGCCCTTCCTTATTGAGACACTCGAACTTAGAATTCACTTATAATGACTTATTTGAGCTATTTCGCCCTCGACTGGCAATGGAATAAGACACGACAAGTCTGATGCATTTCAAGTGGAAATAAGTGTAAATAAGGAGCAACTAGAGAGTGGAAGTGCTTTTAAGTGAGCAAAGCATAACAAAGGCGACAAGATTGGAACAAGACGTGATGGGAATATGATCGAAGGTGAAGAAATATGTACAAGTGGATATGCGCGTGAAGCGTACGATATTCTTGAGGCCCGGCCATCTCCCTCGTGAAGCGATCAGCTTCGGCTTCCATAGTAAGCCCCTTAGATACCGTTAGTACCCTCTCGTACGGGATCGCAAGACAAGACATACCAAATGGGCGTCCAGGACTCCAGTCACGACGGCGGGAACGTACGCTGTCCCTGTCCATACGCTGGGCACTCACGTGCTCGCGAAACCTCCACGAGGGGGGGATAGGCAACTCGGGCTGCATTGCCTGCGAATGCGTGACAAACAGATTGGAGGGAAGCTTGGCTGGCGTTGCCCCGTTGGCTGGCGTTGCCCCGTTGGCTGGCGTTGCCCCGTTGGCTGGCGTTGCCCCGTTGGCTGGCGTTGCCCCGTTGGCTGGTGTCGCCCCGCCTGCTGGCATCACACCCACCACATCGCTAGTAGGGCCATTGGCGGGGGCGGCACCGTCAGCGTTGGCGGTGGTGTGTGACGGTGTGGTGTCGGCCGCAGTGGTATCGGCCGCAGTGGTGTCGGCCGCAGTGGTGTCGGCCGCAGTAGTGTCGGCGGCGATGACGTTAGCTGCGGCATTGGCCACGGTGGTGGTGCTGTTGTCGGTGACGGTGGCAGCGGCGGTAGTGTTGTCGGTGGTGGCTGACATGGCTAGGACGGTAATGGGTGGTAAAGAAAATAATGGTGTGAGAAGGGAAACATTCGCTGCGTGCGAGGTTTTGATGTTTTAGTGTGAGAACATACATTCTAAGAATAACATACCAAGAGTCTTGGCAGTCGACCAATGCGGAACTTACCCGCCGCTTCTCTCCCGACCCCGGTGCTGGAAAGGGCTCGGATATGTATGTTGATCAATGGCTTCTGCGTCGACTATGTAGTAGGGATGGTGTACCGTGAGCGATGCGGAACGGAAACCGGATGGAGGCCCTGTCGAAGGCGGACAGAACGTCGTCAATAACTCCACGTCGGCACTTGGCACCTCCGAGTCAGCGGGACATAGCTGTCGCCCTTATAGCCGCACGGACATACCATGTCAGCAAAGTGTGCATGGTCGATCATCAGCGCGGTGTGCTTGCCAAAGCCTGCGGTGGACTCGTCGGGGGGATATACTAGTAGGGAGAATGAGGAGACGTGGGTGTTGTGAACGGCCGGTGATCAGTCGTCCGATTCGTAACGGTACGCGTGAGATGGAACAAGATGCCAGAGATATTGCAGATGTGTGGCGAAGGCCAGAAGCTGCATCCGAGCGAGGGAGTGGCGGGTAACGATATCAATGGCGGTGATGTTGCCGGTGTGTTGACGATGCGAGGCACGTAACCACATCTAAGTGGTCATTCACCTCGAGCGTGTGATGGATGAATGGATGAGGGGGAGGAGCGAGACGTGCAGCCTATCTAAAACAAGATGAGCACGCGGGGCAAAGCAGCGCGCAACCTCTCAAGAAGGTCACGACCAGAGCGCCTCAAGCCTAGCCGCGTGTCTTGCATCGCGGCTGCGCCTCGATGTCACTTCCGACGCTAAACCCAGCGATCTACGCGCGTGGAGATGGGGAGATAAGACGATGTGAATAAGAATGAGGAAAAATGCGATGTGAGTGTCCATTGTACGTGTGACCTGCAGTCCTGCGTGGGGTCTTAGTCTTGCGTAAATACTGTGCGAATAATGTTACTGACGATGCGATGGTTCTTGAGGTGTGCTGTTCAGCGAGCGACCGAGCATCTAGAAGGAGGGCTGGGATTGCTGAGAGGCGGCGGCATCGGCGGCGGCATCAGAGCCTCGTTGACGCTGCAGAGACGCTGAACCTCATTCTCAACCTGCTGAAGACAGACTTGGAGTTGCTGGGCGGTCATCTCCAGGTACTTGACGTGCGTGGTAGCGCGGTCAAGGAGTGAAACCTTGTTGCTCTTCTGGTTGGAGACGGGGAGAGCGTCCTTGAGGCGGTGGTAGCCGTCCCTGAGCTCGTCCCTCCTGCACTACTCGGACTCGATACGCTGGCGACGGATGGTCTCCCGGCGCTGGTCAGTGTTGTTGGAAGTGGGCGGGAGAAGCTGGAAGTCCTCGTCCTTGTCATCAGAGTCGTTGCGAGACTTTCTCCTCGTAGCCTTGACAGCGCTATGGGTAGCGGGCATCGCACTGAGGTTGCCTGAGAACGTCGTGGACGAAGGTCTTCATCGGGGTAAGGTGGCCAGGATTGGCCTGCGAGCTTGGCATAGGTTGCAAGTGGGACCGACGCGGGAGCACAAAGGGAGGTACGTTTGATGAAGCGACCGGCGAATACGAGGTGGCGGGGGAAATGGGGGATGGAAGCTGGGAGTTTATGAAGGCGCGTGCGGAAAGAGTTGCCGGGATCGGCCTACGAGCTTGGTGTGCATTGCGAGTGGGACCGACACGGGAGTACAAAGGGAGGTACGTTTGATGAAGCGACCGGCGAATACGAGGTGGCGGGGGAAATGGGGGATGGAAGCTGGGAGTTTATGAAGGCGTGTGCGGGTGAGGGTGCAGGGTGGAAGCAAGACAGACGGGCAGGATGTCTTGAGGGTCCCATATGTCGCATATAGACTTCACTGCTTGGTCTGGGGAGTCAATCATCTCAAAGTCAGAAGGGTATTCTAAGGGCTCACCGACGAAGCTGGAAGCATACAGAGCTCCCCCTGATTCGACACTCTTGCAAAACTTGCGAGCAAAAACTCGGACGTTCAGAGACACGGAGAGAATGACGAGAACGCTCGTCTACGACGACTGAGGCGCCAGGCTTCCAACGCTCTGCGAGGACCTCAACTTGGTGGTGCATCTACGGATGACTCTGTCTGATGTCCTGGCGGGAGTTAAATGGCCACGGGAGGTGTCGCCGGCGATTGCGGTGCTAAGAAGCTCCTCGAAGGGGAGCTCGATGATGGGATGCTCGACGGAGAGACTGTCCGCAGAAGAGCCGGTATCTTTGCCCTTGGTGCTCATGGGCGTCGAAGCAGCATGAAGGAGGGAGGAGGGACTGGAGTCGCTGGAAGAGGGGACTGTTAGTGGGCCAGCTCGAAGGAAGTGTTGGGGACCTCGCACCGACGCAAAGTCGAGGCGTTGTCCTCGCCCATCGACTGGGACAAGGTCTACTCTTCGAGATCATGTAGGCAAGCCGCATGGCAACTACGGTTGAACGCGTTGTCCATAAACTCCGCCGAGGGCTTGAGCTCAGGCTTGCTGGCGACGCCGGGGACGGCGGATGTGGTCGGTTAACAGAGAAGGCGAACTGCATGCACTTGATGGTGCTGGGTTTGACGTTCTGGGCTGCCTCTCGGCTGCGCTCCTTCTGGGCTGCACGCTGGCTGATGACGTCGGAAGAAGCGTTGCGCTTGAAGTCTGGAGTTCCGAGCTCTTCAACGCTCCTGAATAACGCAGGACGGAGTGGGTTCTTGCCAGGGAATGATAGTGGTCACAAAGAGGTGCTTACCGTCCCCTTTTCTTGTCAACCCTGTCACCCATGACCCGGAACGCTTCCTGAACTCCTGTTTGGACTTGGTATTGTCGGCGTCGACAACGATGTTTTGCAGGTGCCATAGGCGACAAAAGAGGTTTCCAAGATGTTGGGCCGGTTTGAAGTAGCTGGATACCCGAGTACAGGCCTGGAAGAGGAACAGAGAAGAAATACAGAGGGAAGATGAGACGCAAAGGTCGAAGAAAGAAGGTGTATAGATGCATACCTTCTATGCTCTTGTGAGGGCCTCGAAGTTGCCTGGGTTGCAGAAAGCAACAAACGATTTGTTCTCCTGTGCTCTGATGACTGTTGAGGCAGGAGCGAGAGGGGAAAGGGAATCGAGGGGCGGTGGAACTGGCCATGGATGTATGAATGGCGTGGTTGATATGTTGAAAGAGGCGAGGGTGAGACAGGGAACGCGTGGGAACAAGTAGATGGGTTTGCGCTTCCAAGTCTCCACTTAATTCGGGGACTATTATCTTCAAACGCTTCATCAACCAAGAGCCTCCCCCACTCAGTTCGCGACCCATATTACCCAAAACAAATGTATATTAGTTATGTTAGCAAAGCTGATATGTTATGCAATCTCAAAAGAGTGATGGTCAGCGTATCGGTTAACGTAAAAGCCGTCAAATGTATCGTAAGAATGGTAATGCTTAAGGGTTTTCGGTACACGAAAGTCATCATAGAATGGTATGAGATGTGCGGCACGGACTAATGTACTGACGGGGATAACAGCCAGCTTTGGCTGCCCGTCGTCGTGAACGTCGGGGCATACAGCATACATGCCGGTATTCTCGTCTCGTGTGTCCCGGACTCGCGAGAACCAGTGCACGAGGGCACACGAATAGGTTTTTCGGTTGTAGTCGAAAGAGAAGAAGGCTAGGGCGCGGGCGACTTCCATCCCTAACATACCTTTGATCTCTTTGTTGGTTGACACGAACACGCAGTCATGTCGTGCAGCTTCTCCCCGCCAGTTGAGCGTCGAACGGATGCGTTCGCTACGCAACCCGTCCACCCTACAAATGTCGCTCGGTGCCCGAAAGGTCGCAATCGCCGAGGTGAACATGTAGATGCGGTCGGATTCGTCAAAGGCAGGGAGGCGGGACAGAGGGACAGTCGACACGTCCGCAGTGTCGAGCGGGCGGAGTTGGTGATACAGGAAGCAACGAACCTGGTAGTATAGGTCGAATTCCTGCAGTCTCAGCTCGTCCGCAAGCTGGGACATATTGTGGGCTCGTTGACGAGCTGCTGACCAGATTAGAAAGGGAAATACAATGAGAGATCACACTACGCACCAACAACCCTTGCGAGCCGAACCTTGGCCTCAACTTCGTCGTCGAACTCCTCCTCCTCCTCTTCCTCGACACTGCCTCCAACCAAGCCACGAGCACGCAGCTGGGCTTCGTTCGACGCAGCTTCTGCTAGCCGAAATATACCTTCATCTGCGAGACATGAGTAGACAAACTTGAAAAGGAGAGTCAGTGAAACATACATCGTCTGAGTGCATCGACTTCATCCGAGACGAGCCCGTCGTTCAACATCCCCCGCGCCTGAAATTCGACCCGGCAAGCAGCGAGCTTGTCGAGACGCTGGTTTGTTAATAGCATCTGCTTGAGGGCGTTGAAGCGGCTAGACCGCCGCCACGGCTCCTTAACGGCCTTGATGTGCTTCGATTCGGTTATTGACGAGCACAAGCCGTTCGGCGCCCCAAATAGCTGAATCATCTTGAGGTAGTGCATAAGCGAATGCTGTCGTGGAAGGGATATGGACGCGGCGACCCCGAGAGTCTGGAATATGGTGCGATACCTGTGAAAACGCTCCAACGCGTCCTTGATCTGTGTCAGACTCTCCTCTGTGATGACATCGCGCCTGACTAGATAACAGAACTCTAGAAAGGCGCGAAATGTACGGACAACGTCTTGAGGTACGTGTCCTTCGATTGCGGGAATGTAGACCTAAGACGATATGAGGCATTTGTGAATATACGAAGTAGCCGCAGATGCTCACCTTCATAAGCGCTTTGCTATCGTCCCCCGTCCACTGCTTGAACCCGCGACCGTTGGGGAACCGACGTAAACCCGCGAATGGCGCAACTATAGCAATCCTACAGCGCGGGGTTAATAAGCACGGCATTCGAAGGAAGAGGTGTCAAGATGACACACCTTCGATCAATGTCGTCCAGGATCGCTAGTGCATCCGCCTTCGAATGAACCTTGTGAAGGTAGTTGACCACCCACTCGACGAGGTGGTCTTTGAACGTGCCCTTGATGAGTTGGTGCAGAATGTCGGGGGATATCAGCTCGTGTATATCCGCTCGGGGAAAGTCGTTAGTGAACGGCTGGCGACGTGACAGAATTAGTGCATCTGATGTGAGGTTTGAAGCATAAAGACTTACGACTGTGTTTCCTATGACACCGTAGTAATCCCAGAGTGATCCGAAATCAAACTCGTTGATCAAGACGTCGTTGTGGTCTTGACTACGTAGCAACACCGGATCGCTGCTGTCGAGGTCGTCTCGAAATGCGAGACACCTATCATCATGCGAGTGAAGTCAGCACTGGGTGAACATGTGCCAGAATCGGGCACTTACTTCGGACACCATCCCTGAACAATGCACGCTAAGAGTGCTTGTTCGGGGTAGTCAGCGATATACGGCCCTAAACCGTAGATCACGCGGCGGTAGTAGCCGTCGCCGAACCGGACGACTTCGTATTCCGTCATACCGGGCCGTAGGGAGCGCAGAATCCTCGCGAGCGAGGTGTGGTACAGTTGTCGAGGGAAGTGTCGAAAGGCGGGATCACCAGCGAAGCTCTGATTAGCTTCGGTACATATCAGCATGCGAATGTTCAAGTTGCAACAACCCAATAAAGACTCACTTTTCGGAATGGCAAGAAACCCTATGAGAGCGACCGCGTTGCGATGCGCTCGACGGATGTTGTTGTGAACGTTACCGATGGAAAGATATAGAGGGTAGTACTCGGTGTGACCTGTCGCGACGGAGACCGTGGTCTTGTCGCTGCCTAAGATGATAGGTACGAACGTGGATCCGGCTGTCGTCGGATCCTTTGCAATCTCATCCTGGATGAGTTAGTCAAGGTTGAGCGCAATGACAGATGATGAAGGGCACTTACTGCCTGATCCCAAGCCCAGTCCCCCGAGAACATATGCTCCCATTGGCGGGTACCCGAGATGTCGAAGTCTCGATAAGGGCTGTAGTCCATGCCACCTTGGAGGTCCGGGTTCGCGAGCATATTCTTCACAACAACATGTGGGTCGCGGAACCACACGTCGTAAGTGTCCTCCATCCAAGGGGGTATATTGCGTGTTGGCTTCGCGCCCTTGTACGACATTGCGAAGGATTGCCATGGGATATCGCCCGCTTGAATCGTGTCTATGGTCGAGTACATGTCCTCGTGGTCGGCAAAGGGGGGGATGTCGTTATGCTTCCTGAGAGTGGCAGCCCAGAGGTCCATGATGGTATCGATTTCCCCGGCAGGAGCCTGCGCGCGCCTGTAGAGGAAGTCGGCTGTTTCGAACTCTATCCGGTTGCGGAAGGGGAACCAGTCGTCTGCTGCTCTCGGAGGAAGAGGAAAGGGCGGTGCGTCGGGAGGTAGGAGATCGCCTCGGGGGTCGCATTTTCGACCTATGATAGACGCATGGGCGGGGAAGTAAAGGATAGTGTCATAAGAAAAGGACGCACCATCTAACACGGGATGATGCTCGCGGACTTTCTTTCCGTTTATCAGCTCTATCCTCCCTCTGACAGGTGCCTCCTGCTGCGGTAGCTCTTCATGTTCGTGCTCGGAGCTAGGGCCAGGCTCAGTGTTTGGCTCGAAGCTGAAGGCGAGGCCAAAGTCTTCGTCGTCGTTGATATCGGCTGGTCCCGGGTTGTCCGCGTGCAAAGCTACTGCCGCCGGGGATAACTCGTGCGAGTCGTCCAAAAGTCCACCGTGTTTACGGTTAGTGTGGTTTGTGTAACCAGACTTGTTGTCGAAAACCCTTGGGCATGCTGGGCAAGGATATCGAATGTCGGAGTAAGTCTTGCGGCGGAGCTGTTGGCGTTCTTGGGGAGACGCGACTGCAGACTCGATTTCCATGTCGGACGACATCGCAAACTTTTCTGTGATGAGGGTATGGAAGAGAGGGGTGCTGCAGCTTGACGACGGCATATTTTGAGTTTCAGAAAGCTGAACCAATGGAGACTTTACAACAACCCCTTGGCACCTCAGTTTGACAACGCTAGCACTGGTTTTCGGAATACTTAGCCAATGAAAAGATTTTGCGACGGCTCCTTACCTCAGCCGCCCGATCTCAGGCTGGGCGCTCTGCTTATACTAGAGGAGTCAGAGGCCCGTAAAATTTCGCTCACCCCTCCAACCTTCACTCTACCGCTTCCCTCCTTCTGCTCCTACCCCCTCGTTCTCCTCTCGAACATGTCGACCAGCCGCATGGGCACGCGCGCTTCGAATGCGGACAAGCACCCTGGAGATGCCCTCAAGGTGCTCAACCGCATGACACCAGAGGAGGTCAGGCTGTCCAAGGAGAAGAAGAAGGCCGCCAAAGATGCCCAGGAAGCCGAAAGGCTACGAAAGGTCGGACATGTCGCTGCCACCGAGAACAAGTTAGCGAAGAAACAAGAAGAAAGGGATACCAAGGACAGAAGACCTCCTAGCCGCGGCGTCGCGGTGAAGCCAACACAGAAAAAGACGCCGGATGCCAGAGCAGAAGCAGCCGATGACGCCGGTACTAGTAAGCACTTGTGACAGGTTTCTCATCAGTGGCACGCCGTGTACTAGCTCACTATGTCGTAGGCCAGGACAGTCGCGCCGCCACTGTATCCAAGAAGCAAACTCGGGTTCAGGGAGCAGCCAAGGAGGCGCCCAAGACGAAGAGTAAGGCTAGAGGGAAAAGGGGTGAGCCAGCGGTGTAATCTAAAGCATAACATACTGAAGGCCTGTTACTCCATTGTCTAGCCACCATCGAGGTCGAAGAGCAAGAAGAAGACGGCAGCGACAACGCCGGCGCAATGGAGCATACAGTGAGGAGGGTGCCCTTGGCAGACAGGGCGGTCCTCCGGACCGATGTTGGGAAAGCGCGTGTAGTCTCCGCCGGGAACGGCAGCTCTTCTGGCAAGGCGATGTGAGTTTTCCCACTGCCTTATACTCTTTCTTACTTACCGCAATGACAATGTTCCTCCAACTCACCGAAACGACTCTCCACTATCGGAACATTGCATATCAATACCTCAGCAACCCCGTGTCATTCAAGATGGGTGTCCAAAAGTGGTCGGCTGGTGTGGACCCTCGCGGACCCCCGGACTCCTCATCTGTCTCATCTCGCACTCCCAGTGTCCTTACAAGCGCTAAATCCGCCTCCATTGCTGCTGCCCGTTCCGCCAAATTGGCCAAGAAAGAATCCGAGTCTTCTCAGGCTACCAAGGATGCGGCGGCGGCAAAGTCCACGGCGAAGGCAAGGTCGGTGGCAGCCTCAAAGTTGGCGGCGGCGGCGGCGGCAGCGGCAGCGGCGGCAGCGGCAGCGGCGGCAGCGGCAGCGGCGGCAGCGGCAGCGGCGGAAGCAGAAGCAGAAGACCAGGGTGAGGTACGGGAGGAGGATGCTGAGGACGACGAAGAGCCCTTTGGCCTCTCTGACGACAATGCCGAAGTCCTTCTTCGCGAAAGGGCTAATATTCTGAGTGACGGCCCGCAAATGGATGACCCGGTATGTAAATACAGCACTGTCGCCCATCCACTTACTAGTATGTACCTGACCATAGATTGTTGTCATCGAGGAGATTGACACTCCCCTAGCTAGTCGCTTTCGGCCTCTTAACACAGAGGTTCGTAATCACGCATCTACCTTCTATCTACTAACACATTCGGATCAGGTTGACAATGGGGACATCTCTAGCTCGTCCCTGGACGACTCCATCCATCATGATGCCCTCGACGACATTGATGCTGATGCTGATGCTGACGCTGAAGTCCCTGTCGATGTTGACACTGACGCTGACATTCCTAGCCCTCGTGCCTTCACTCAGACCCTCAAGCCTTCACGCATGAAGCGCAAGCATCACGATGACGCCGTTGGTGCGGACAAGCGTGAGCTGGGTGACGATATTGCTTCGGTAAGTACGCGTTCATACATGCTTTATTATGGTCGTTATACATCTGATGTTACAGGATTCTAATTCCGAGGACATTGCTCCTCGGCCTCGCACGACTAACTTGGGAAGTGATTACCTGCTTATGTTTTCTGGTCCCGCTAATTTTGAGCATATAGACCGACGTTGATGTACAGTCACCGAAGCGTGTGAAGCTCGGCCCGGCGAGATCTGCTCCTACAAAGTCCGTATCCGCGAAGAAGGACACGACCACCAAGAAGAGAGTCAGCAAGGACGCGACTGAGGAGAAGAAGGTCGACAAGAACTTGAAGAAGGGGGACGACGAGAAGAAGGGGGGCGACGAGAAGAAGGGTGGCGACGAGAAGGGGGACAAGAAGACTCGGAAGGGAGACGAGAAAAAGGAGGAGGAGACAAAGGGCGACGAGAAGAAGGGCGACAAGGACACGAGTGACGAGAAGAAGGCTGAGAAGGACGCGGCCGAGAAGAAGAAGCGCGGCAAGAACACGCTCCCGGCTCATTGCCACAAGGGCGACAAGTGGAAGAAGATAGTTCTCCCTGCGTTCTTTCGCTGGCTTGGCGAGCAGAAGGATGTATGGGGCGCTTCAAATGCCCAACTCCTGGGAGCTCTTCGCAAGATCTGGAAACAGGTTTACGACGAGGATCTACCTGAGGAGCAGAGCGCGGTCAACGGGCCCGCTTTAACACTGGTAAGCATGACAGTTCATATTTTGGCTATACTCATATGTCCCCAGATCAAGCAGAAGGCGGCCGAATGGCGCAATAACTTCGGCAGTACCGCCATCGCCGTCCTCGTCGTGTCTTTCTGCGACCAGGCCATGTATGGCAATGCGGAGGCTGACGACCTGCGTAAGGACTACAAGGCAGCCTCGCTCCGCTGCGGCACATAAGGCTTTTGTACTGGGAAGGAAAACTCGCGCGAGTAGCAGACATTGTATTACCCGCTCGTAGATCATAAAGGCAGCGAGCTCGTTCCGCTACGGCACCTAAGGATCTCATCCTACCATTTTTCTCAGTGAGAATCGCCATTCCATTGTACTGGAAAAGAAAACTCCAACACGAATAGGCACACTAACCGTGGATATCTATCGTGCAGCCCAGAGCCCTACATCGTATACAAATACCGAGCACTAACGCGAGAGATATGCCACAGCCACAACGCCAAACATGTGCAATGCCAAGCCGGGCATAATTTTGAATATACGAGTAATTCCGAGGGGCTGCTTGCCCGTAATGCGTTCTTATACAAAGATGTTGTCGAGGGTAAGCGCGTCGGTCTCTTTGAAAGTCTTTTTTTCTCCATGACGCTCGCCGTACACTGGGGCGGCATTCGCGGGTACTCTAACACGTCCGAGTCGACCGAGACAGCCACACCCTATGCTCCGCGAGGGGCGATGGCGCTATGTGCTGCAGCGGTACGTCTAAATCACCCTCCATCCTCTTGACTGTCTAAGCTAGGATTTGGAAAGTGCGAACGCGCGTGCGCTCTTGCCGCCGAGGGCAAGCTTGGAAAGCTCGAAGACATCATCGTCGACATCGCCGACTACAAGGCGAGCGGGGCCGCAGGCAGCACCCTCACCAGGGCCAAGACTCTCCTCAAGAACTCCCAGCAGCGCCAGGAGGTGAACGAGAGGACGGGCAAGGCGTCGACTCACCTTTCCAACTTTTCGGAGCAGAACTGGAAGAGGGCTACGGACGGCTACTGGGCGCTGCTCAACAAGCCTGGTAAGGCCACGGACGAGTTCGTCGCCGCCCGTTTCAACGAGGCGCTCAAGCATTGCCCCAAGTCGCGAAGGAGTGATGAGGCGGATGAGGTTGGGGCTGCTGTTGATGTGGAGATGGCTGACGCAGACGTCGACGAGCGTGCCAATCTCCCATGGGATGATTGTAATGTCCCTTTTATAACGCTTTTCTATCTCTTTCGAACCTAACTTGGAACACCAAAAGGATTGCCGCCCTCAGGCTCGCGCCCGCTGCCGTGCTGCACCCGCCCCTCCCTGCCATCGCCTCGCATATGCCTCTCGTCCTCCTCATCCTCGGTAGATCTCGTTCTCACGGCTATTCCATTCGATATCATCCCTGCTGCGTCTTTTTTATCTGCTCTTATTATCGCTTTCGGACCTCTTGAACTCTCTTAAACCCGCACTTCTTGCAACCTTTTACCCCTTTTACATTCTTGAAACTCGCTTTATTTCACTTAAACTAGTCTTTTTTGAGCTTATATGGACCTTATATACACGCTTGAGGTCGCTTTATAGATTTGATTGGTTTTCAAGCCGGGTTTCAAGTCCGAATAAGCGTTAACAAGCAAGGTTTAAGAAAATGGCCCTACTTGGATATCACTTGGAATCAGCTTACTTGACGATCACTTGATTTCCACTTAAGGTGCAATAAGTACCAATAAGTGCTCCCCAAGAAACCTGTAGATTTCCTGATGTAAAACCTGTCGATTCGGACGTTTGTAACATGCCCGATTCCGTTGAACTGCACGCCAATGTACTCTCCGAGTTATATGCCTGTTCGAAATCTCGTCGCGCCGAACTCGAAAAACATACCGTCTCAGGGATGAGTCCTAGTAACGTCATCTCCTCAGTCCGGGGCTAAACATGCTGACGCCAGCTGTCAGGAATGGGATCACTTTGCGTTCAAAAACGATGCACTAGCGCTCTTATACGACCTGCAGAGGCTTATCTTCGAATTCGGAGATTGCATCTATGTTTCAGCTTTGCATATCTATCATTCCCGCCCTCCCATTTTTGCCCTCTAGTACCTTCATCTGCAAGACGTACGCGGCAGACCTACTCAGTGCTAGTGTCGAGATTACACAGGGCTTGGATGCCGAATGGGACTTCTGCCAGCGAACCATAGCGTGCCCAGCTGTTCAATCGATCGCCGTCTCCCATGAAGGCATGTGGGTAGCTACCGCCTCTGAACTTGGCATGCAGGTCTGGGATATGTCTACTGGCTTGTTAATGACAACTGTTGACCATAGTCCTACCGGCACAGCGTTGGCGTTCTCCGCCGACGGATGTGTCCTGGGTTTCGGTGACTTCGCCGCCCCGGATAGGTGGGGTGTCTGGCACGCACTTCAGGATTCAGTCATGGCTTTCTCGCTCGACAACTGTCAAGATGTTGTACCCAGTTGCTGCGCTTTTTCGTATGGCATCGATCGGATTGCCTGTGCCTTTGAGCACACAAGTCCGAGCCTCTCGACGCTTCACATCTGGGGCATGGCGGCGCAGACTGCGGAGTTGGCGCTGGGATGCGAGGGTGTTGTGCGCCAAGTCAGCTTCTCGCACTCAGATCACATGGTATTCGCTGCAACGAACTTTGCCCTGTACATCTGGAATAGCGTAACAGGAGAGCAGCTAAAGAGCATTGGGCGTTCTCAAGTTTCTTTTCCTCCAAACAGCTGGCACTTCTTCACAAAGGATGACAGATCCATTGTACACGTTCTTGCACAGTACTCGCAGCCTTATTCGTCAGACCAGGCTAGCTTGGGCGTGTTTATATCCTCCACCGATGGTAACGGTGTCTCTGCACCAACCTCTGTTCCATCAAGTCTTCGAGTGTCTGCATTGGCGCACGATGGAAAGTACCTTGCAGTACGCATCGAAGATACCGTGTACCCCCGGTTTTGTCATGGCGTCCATCTCTCTCGATTGTCACAAAACGATCACCCCCTTTGTGCGGTCACGGGCACGTATTCTGAAATTCATCTCATATCGAGCTCTGGTATCACTATCTTCGACCTTTCCAAGGCCAACTACGAGCTTATCGGCCGGAGAAACTCGGGTGGTCAGACGAGGTCCGATCATGTCCTATTAGAGTCTTGGAAAGGGAAGGAGTCGTATGTGCTTGGCGAACATGTCACAATGAGCGTTGGTGGGCGAGACACGACGATGTCGCGCATCCGGTTCATCGATACGCACAAGGCGCAGCACACCATCTGGACGGAAAGGGTTGACGATGATCACCGCGACAAGGTCTTGTTTGCTCCGAATTCGCAGGCAATCGCTTATCGCTGCAGCTCAAGCAGCCCTATTAACATCATGGACGTTCATACTGGAATATCGCATCTTGTCGAAATGCAGGATTGCGGAAACAGTATCGTCGCGTGGGCGTTTTCTCCTGGTGCATCATTTCTCGCAGTTGCCTTCCGGACAGAGATCATTCAGCGATTCAGATTTTGCGTATGGCATGCTGCCACGGCAGGTTTTGTCGGAGAAAAGGTGATAGAAGGACTTGGCCAGTCGTCAATAGTGTTTTCTCCCAACGAAGCCCTGATAGTGGTCGTGTCCCACAATCGGACCAAAGTCGAAGTGTTCTCGCTCTCAGAGCCAACGGGTGGCCTACACTGCTTTCGAACCTATGATGCTCCCCAGTACTCTTGGCTTTTTTCTCCTGCCTTCGCGGATGCTTCCACCTTCATTTATGTGTGTGTCCTTCGCCAAGGCACCTGTGCTGTCCCTGTAGCACTTTACGTCCAGAGCATTGCCGAACATGGGACGGCATATGCATCTCCTATCGGTTCGTACAACGTCGGCGAGGGTCACCTGTCAAATGGCAATCTCATTCTCGGGGTATTTGCATCGCCCAACTTGGAGCGCATAGTAACTCGAGGATCGGTAAACACTCAGATACTCGAGTACTCTAAGGCGAGAGCAAGCAAGCTGATTGCACGAAATACCTCGTCGACGAGCAAGTGTAGTCTTGATACCGTTACCTGGTCAAACGTCCACTTCACGAGCGACGGTTGGCTGCATGTCGGCGAATCTCGGGTTTGTTGGATACCGGTTCGGTACCGACCGAAGCAAAGACGTGCCGATGGTTCTTCAGCACAGCAGCACCAGGATCCAGGCTCTAGCTCTGATGAGATCCTACCAGAGAACGCGGCACAAGGGTTTAGGGCGCTGGGGAACGGCGTAGTGCTTATGTGCGGAAACAAACATGTGGTCTTACGTTTCCACAAGGCGAAGGTGGAGTCCTTCGAATAAACCGCTTACAGTGAGTGATATTGTATCCATCTATCTTGCCAAATCCAACGTCACTCAGCAGGAGAGAAAATAAAATAGACATATTCGATCAAGCCGAAACAGTATATCTATCACTATATATTACACCGACGTAGTCGTATGAGGACGATCAGGGAGCACACAAGACGCTAGTAGGATAGTACGATTAGAGTGATGAGAAATGCTTGTAAACGTAACCATCATGTACATGGATTCGATGAATGCTGTGTTCTGTGACGAGCCTCCACAGCAATCGCTCATCTGCGGTGACCTGACCTCGTTCCCTGGGCCGTCTGCATCTGCGCCGCAAGTTTGTAGTGTTGCTCTTGAAGTTTAGCTTGCTCCTGCATCATGCGACGGTTATCTTCGATCAGAGCATCAAGCTGCTGACCCAGTGTTTGTAGCATGTCGACGGCTACAGCGCTTGTCAGATCAGAGTGAAAAGAAGCAAGAAGCACCGGACATACACTTCTGTAAGACCTGGGTGGTATCCCCACGATTGCCTGTGAGGGACTGGAGCCGTGCGATGATTTGACTTTCATCATCGAATTGAGGCACAGCGGGGGCACGAGAAGACATCATTGTGATTGAGCGAGATAAGTGTGCGAGACTTTGACGAGTTGCGACTGCTAGTGGCGGATGAAGACGAGGTTCGATGAGGAACAAAGCGAAGGTTCTGCGCCAATATATACCATTGGAGCGTCCCTATACTAGTGTGGCCACTCGAATAGAGAAGAGACCGTGAACCGTAAGACGGAACGTTCTTATGGCAATTCATGTCTGCGGGGAACGTTCTGCACCCACGGATTGCTACGCGTATACTTCGTTAGCCAATGACGTGTCTAGCTCAACACTGCCCGTTACAGCGTTTTGACACCGCCAATACCACTCTGACAAGTTGATCATGATGACTGCGGCGTAGACATGAAACTTGCGCTCGAGTCGAACGGGATGGGTAGTACGGGACCGAGTAAATGACCGAGACTAGCAGGGTCCTGACAAAAGCAAGCCCCAGAACTGGACCTATTCCATCACCCGCTGAGACTAGTTGAATTTCTGAACGTGTCGCCACTAAGTTCATGGCGCCTTTCTGATGTCAGACACAACGGCAAGAACGAATAACGTGCCGGGGACCGTGCCCGAGACCGTTCTAATAGTGGTGCCTAGCGACATGCGCAACATCGTTATGAGAAAATTGGAATTGCTGGACTCACTGAAGTATGCAGTTATGTGGCACGTTGCATACGATATGGGTCATGGTAGACGCATGGTGGGCGCAGACAAACAAGATGTGGATTCGGAGCATCAGGACTAAACTTGAAGGAGCTTGTCGGTATTCGAATTTTCGCGTCCCGCGCTACAGAGGCCGGGCGTGAGAGTTGCTCTTCGGCTCCCTCATGGGCTGAGCATGGTTGGAGCATGGTAGCGCTATTCTTCATCGACTTGTGTAACCTTCAGCCGCTTTCGTTGATCAGCGGCTAGCCTGCTATCCATATCTCAAGCACAGCGGAGAACTTCACGCTACGTTGTGAGGATGATCTAGAGAGAGGACTGACGTTGAGCACCAATTCATCTCTAAGTCGGGACGGTGATGCATACGTGCCTACCGTGCAGCACGCTTTTAAAATGGACGGAACGTTCGACTGGTGCTGTCTCCACGAGATGTAGCTTTCAGAGGCTGGATAAATCAGCGCTCAGGTGCATTGCTGGACGTCGCATACTGCGAGACACTCTGCATGGAGAACGGAGCACAGCTCCTCGCTGACTGCACGGTGCAGCCTTGTGAACTGCGACGAGTTCTGCACGCAATACTTTACACGGGGCTAACAGTTTACCACTTTTTGACATCCACGTTATTTTAAATCATAAGTCGTGTCAGTGGAAATGCAAACACAGGCTACATGTCGAAGTACGAAGCGAATAAATACATCCCTGATGCTAGAGAAGTTATATGAAGGTATGTACACTAGGTATTAGCTGTTATATACTGTAAGTTGTACGATGTGCGCAAGAAACTGAAACTCTACATGTGTCGACGAGAGATATTCTTCCACCAATCTTACAAGTTCTGACTGTCGGTCACTGTGGCCAGTATCCCTTGTTGAAACCGTTCTGCGTCTGCAGCCAAGCCTGAAGCTGCCTGTTTTGCTCGCGCAGCTCGTTCATCCTGGATGTAAGCACCTGGTTCTCCTGCACTAGGAGATCAACCTTGTGAGATAGGTTCTCCATCGTATCTGCGGCTATTGATCTATGTCAGGAACATGACTCTACTATCATAATGGGAAGAAATAACGTACCGCGCGAGAGGACCGTTGCGCGCTTATCGGGTGAACCCGTCAGAGCCTGCAGCCTCTCAATCAATCGCCGCTCCTCATCCCTGTATTGCGCCTGGATCTGTTTCTTCTTCTCGCGTTCATCGGCATAAGAGTAGCCGGGGTTGTTCAACGTGTAGTAACCTTCCATGTTCATGTTCATGTTGAATACGTTCGGAAGAAAGGCGGTAGAAAGTTAAGGTTTGTGCGTGGAGGAGAGCGAAGAACGAAGAGCGCGTTCGAGATATGTGCTTGAGAGTCCGAACCGTGTAGTGAACGCCAGATGGCGAAGAGGGGTTGATGCTGAACGGGACTGACTCGAGCTGGGGTTTTTATAGCACCGAGAGCACCCTGACGCACAGGTCATGACCTCCAGGAGAACCGGAGAGGTGCTCTCGGTATTGCACATACATGGAATGCCTTGAAGTCGACGACCTTAACTTGATCCCGCATAGCCGGAGCACGTTCCGACATGAGCCCACTGCCTCCCTATTTACATCCGTGAAAACTCCCACGTGGTGCTTCCTCGGGGCGCTTGCCTAACATTGAATTCATTCGTTCACGTCACCTCCGTCGGCGCTTTACTTCCCGCGAAGAAGCATACAGCAAAACAGCAAATCTTTCTCGGCTCCTCGCACATGTATGTAACGCAATCTCACCAGAGCTGTATGACCCTGTCCGCCACCAAATGAGTATCTCGAATTTCTCGACACTACTTCGGTTCATCTTTCAGGATTCTTCCACGCCATCAATTCTTGCTATGCTGTGTCGAGCCTTTAGCGCCTGCCTTTGTTCTTCGAAAGGTGAGGAGGAACGGATACCTACCGCTCATCACTCTCACCGATTGGCAGTGTCTTCTCCACGAGGCCCCTTGTTCTCTTTGTCGATCCGGATCGCAAGGGATGCCCAGGTACTCAATCCCACATGGCACACAGTCAACTATCGAGAGTCGAACGATCTTATGAACAGATCTCGCTGATAGCGGGCACCTGTAGCTTCGATTGGCCCTGATGCAATGATGCCGACATACGGGAGTATTCGAAGCAATCTGACTTTCTTTGGTTCTGAGCAAACCGAGATAGCCAGAAGTTAGTCGTACATCTAACGTAATAGCGTCCATAACCCCGCATAGTTGCCCCGAAGGCTTTGCCTGGGGAGAAACTACAAATCTCGCTGCCGAACAGTGATCAAGAACTTCGTACGCCCCGCATCATTCTGAACAATAGACGCACAGCGTCATCGACGTCGCAATCGATAACTTGGACGGTGGCGCGTCTCCGCTGTCAGCGATATCGAGAGAGATCAACTCGGGCCGAGCGGGAAATGCGGCAAAACCCGATTAAACGCCCATGTGGCGTCACGTTCCGGCATAGCCAACGGCCCAAATAATCGTGAGGCTTGCTAAAGTCAGGTCGGCCCATCTTCACTTCATCGGATGATCGCGAGAGAAATGTGCATCAAATCAGCCAGGTCATCGACAATAAGATGGTGACCATGACTCTAGGACGAATAAACGAGTTCGAAATAACCATTCAAGCAACGAGAATCGTGCGACTACATTCTCCAGAAGAACCATGTAAGGTGAAGTAGAAATTGATACAGACGTAAATTTAGCGCCCCGCGCCAATCGCAGGACGGCGAGTTGAGTCTTGCAGACGGAGAGCGGACTTGCTTCATTTGAGCAGACTGGCCCGAAGGCATGGAAACCGTCTTGTCGCCATCCCGCGCTGGTGGTCGTCGCACTTCTCCCGCTTCGGGTAGCCATGAGAAAGCCGAGAGGTCGGGAGTGACTGTCTTGGTGAGGTCGGTGGTGCGGCCTGCAGATCAGCAATTGCCGTAATCATGAATTTCATCTGCGCTTCCTTGGATAGATTGCGTCGCGGGATGTCATTTTATTCACCTCCTCAGCCAAGGCAATCTCTGACAACTTCCCAGACTAATAAACTGTCCGAGCCGAGAGTGCCCGAGAAAGAACATTCTCGAAAGAAAGTTTGCGTTCGGGGTCTATGTGTCAACTTCAGGGATGTCAATTAAGGACTTGAATGCAAACTCAGTGAAACGGACGCCATATCCTGTAACAACCCTACTATGCTCAGCGCCTTTGGCCGTCATGTGGATAAAAACGTGGATTTACTTGCGCCCTTCTCGCAGTATCAGCTGAGTGGCTCTGGCTACCTTGTTTGTTGATAGAAAGAATCCTTGGCGTACGCTATTTTTACAGCCAATTCAGTTGTAATTGAGAGCACGTTTTAGGCGCTCCCCACTTGAGATTGTCGAGGATATAGGTGATCTTCTTTGTTGGAATGATGCTACGGAGTTGAGCAGATCAGTTGGTTTTAAAAATAATAGTAGGAACCATCGAACAGCCGTCTAACAATTCCCGAATGAATACAAGGGCTCACCACATCAACATTGCATGGCACGTTTGAGAAGGGCGACGGGTTGTTGACAGGCTATGGGCCAGAAGCTCCGTCTGGGATATCGAAGGAGGAACGCGTACACCTGCTCCTCACCTATGTATCTTTGGACTGCATTTCAATCACGAGATCAAGAAAAGAAGTGCGAAAGTAGTAGTAATGACGGCCAAAGTTTTTGGCCAGACGCTCCTCACGATCAATGATAGGTCGAGGCCAATAATGGTTTGGGGGTTGAGTCCATGGATAGCTGCGATGATGAAACATTCGTTGTGGGAGCAATAACCCGCTGCCGAGAAGCCGTCTAATCTGGATATGAGGTCAGCTTCGCGACCTTTGGCTGGAGGAGAGGCCAAGATAGCACCGTGCTTTTGAAATATGACATTCTCATTGGGTCCTTATGAGTCGGAGTCGCTCCTAAGTCTGGAGATATTACTACAGGGTGATTGAACGGACCTTTGATTCTTGAACGACGGTCCGAGCAGCAAAACCTCTCTCCGCAATATGGTTCTCCAATTTCAGGACGCAGCAATCTAAGCTAGAGGACGCCAGACATCGTGGGTTTGGGTTGGCAAAGAAATGTTTCGTGCATACGGCGCTATAACTGCGGCGGCGACACAGTGGATATGCCGGTGCATAGACCAGTTAATAACAGAGGCCCCTGAGGACCTTACGTCCTGTGGAAAGACATCCGTCTCTTACAAATAAATCTTTTGTCTCCCGCAGCTTCATATTTGAAACGCGTGCCCTCCTCGTGTATGGGAATAGCAGCGAGCAGAAGGGGCATCAGCCTAGAGCGGCTGGTTTGGGAGGCAGCAGGATCAGGTATATTATATACAAGCGTGTATCGAGTGGTCCGTGTATGTACAAATGCTGGAGCTGGGCTCGATGATGAGCTGTAGTGGTTATGCACAGGAAGTGTAGATGTAAGAAAATATTACATAGGTGGAACGAATCGCGGGAGATCGAAAATAGGCCAGAAGACGGTATGTACAGTTAAATATGTGCAATGCGTCGTGAACAAGGTAGATAGCATACAGAAGCCGAATGGTACTCGAGAGACGCGAGACCTCAATGTCGTGGTCGTGATAAGTCGCTTTGTCGGAGCTTAAAGGTCTGGGGTATCGGGCCGACGTCTTGATAGATTCGAAGATGCTGGGGGTGTCACTGGTAAGGATAGCCAGGGTATCCCTGGTTCCAGCCGCTTCCTCCCTGCTGCTGCTGCTGCTGCTGCTGCTGCTGCTGCTGCATAATATACGCTTGAAGCTGCTGGTTCTGAACGGCCAGCTCGTTGAGCCTCGCCTGCAGCTTCTGGTTTTCCTGCACCAGGAGGTCAACCTTGTACTGCAGCCCGGAGAGCGCGTCGGCAGCTGTTGGCCAATGTTAGAGAACTGTTGAAATATGGTTAAGGTGATCGAGAAAGGCACTTACAGCGCTGCAGGATGGTCGCGCGTTTGTCTGGCCCGCCTGTCAGAGACTGGAGCCGATCGATGAGCTTGCGTTCCTCATCGCGGTACTGGGCCTGGCTCTGCTTCTTCCGCTGACGATCTTCAGGGGTCATGCCCTCCTGGCTACCGGAGCCGTAGTCGGACTGCGCCCACTGGTTGCCGTAGTTATAAGGGTCCATGACGTGCGATGCGTGTAGCTTTGGGTGTTAGTGCTTGCGAAGACGACCTGTCCTTGAAGATGGCTCTGGTCGAGAACCTGGACGATTAAGCTGCTCGTTTGCTGGTGCAACAGCTGCTGGACGATTTCCTCCTCTCGTTCCTATCTGCATCTTATACATCTCCCAAGTGCTAGACACAGCTCAGCACATAGCTCTTTACGAGCTCTCGGGATTACGCTCGACGCGCTGCATCATGTCTCGAAAACATTCCCTTGACGCTGTTGTTTTCCGCCTAGAGAGGATCGTTGTGACTTCAGGGATGCACCGCAGGGAACGTTCCTTGTAAAAGGGACAGCAGTGCAAGAGGCACGCGGTAAGCGCCCGATCTAAGCCCTGGGTCCTTCTCCCGCGATTATAATCAGTTAATCAATAAACCACGTTTTTTATTAGTCTTGCGCGCCGCCCGCAATCGAGTTAGGATCGGATGGTTTTGTGTTTTTCAAGTCAATCACCGGAGAATGTGCTTTCCGTGCAAAACATAGGCTGTATAGTAGGTTAGCGTCGCTATTTCGCTGAGTACGATGCGATGGGCAAGGAAGCGAGTAAAGAGCCCCTGTATCGGATATTGCCGTTTCAGCTAGCAGGTGAGCCAATCGACAACCGAAGACGATTAGCTTTAGCATTCGGACTTCTATCTTGCAGTTTGTGCGGAGAGTATACGCTGGCTGTCCGTTGGCAACACGGAGCCGTAGAGGTCTTGTTCTCCTGGATACCTGAGCTCGGGGGAGGAATGGTACCGCTGAACGACGTCAGGGGGCTGTGGGGGCTGTGCGTCGGTGCGTACCTGCTTCTTAATTGAAGGGCACGTGTTGGTGCTTGTTTTTAGCTCGCGTGTGGGACGTCGACGCGTCCGCGGTCTCGCGATCGCGAGCGTACCAGTCACAACGCCGAATCTCTCCGGACGATGGCGCGCACATTGTCAGGCGAGTCAAGCGTCGATGTCAAGAAAACTCCGTCATTCAGAACGTTGCGCATTATAATATAAAAGATGCCGCTGAACAATGACTCTCTTTGACCAAGTCGAGTAACTACAACAAGAAATCTCCGTCCACCGGAACGTTCAGCATTTTGATAGTATCGCTGATAAGCGGTCAACGCGTGGATAGGCGCGACGGTAGCAAGCGTTGTACCCACGGTCATAAGTAAATCAAGCGCGCATTGATCAACGCACAGATGAGATTTTCGGCGCTTTATCCGTTATCCCTTCCAAGGGCTGCGCCAACAGCTTTGAAGATAACCCACTTTGCCAGTAGTAACTCCAAAAAACAGTGATACCAACAATTACTCACGGATATCAGCTGTGAAAAAAATATCTTCGGCAACTTCACAAATCACGGAAATCAGCGACACCAACTTTTCACGGAGATCAGCTATAACAACAGCACTTCCACGAAAACCAACGACACCAAAAGCCAGCTTCATTAGACAAAACGAGGTGATCGTCGTTGCGAAGATTAAGATCAAAAGTGGGATCCATCCTGACTTGACTGAAAAACCAACGGCAACACAGGCGTCCCATCACTTCAAAAACATCCAGTGAGAACAGCAGCATTAATATCAGTTCCGTGAAGGCCAACTGCATCAACGGCAACTACACAAAAAATCGACACAAAGTTCTCAAAGCAAGACGAGGTGAACTGAGTTCGTGATCCGCTGCACCCGGGCTGCGCCGACAGCAATTCCATGAAGATCAGCAGCGCCCCGCAATCATTCCACGTAAACCGACAAAACCAACTGTGCCAATGGGCTTGCGCAGAGAACGGCAGCGCCATACGGCAGCCTTACAAACGGTCGACGGTCGACATCCAAGACCCCAGCCAAAATCAAGCAAATTTAAACTTCGCGGCAGCAGCAGCAGCAGCAGGCAAGATCCGCGAACGCTCCATCAACATCGCAATAGATAGAGAATCACGACCGCACGGGGGCAGCCTACAACTCGTCCTATGGGGCGTCTACAACCAGTCTACCGCTGGCTGATATACTCCATCAGCCCGCCCCACCACGCCAACGCGCCTAGCGCACGGGATCCCCCGAATGCAGAGCCGGTGCCGCTTTGGGTGCGCGCGCCGTAGTACGCCATCGCAATGCCCAGGACGAGGACTGCGCCCGCGAGCACCGTGCGCCGCGCAACGATGCGGCCCGCGAGCGTCCGCGTCACTCCCTTCCTCCCCCCGGCGCCCCTGCGCGTCTGCCGGGCGGGCCTCGCGGGCCGCCGTGGCGCCCGGCGTGCGTCCTCGAACGAGCTGTCGAGGTCGCTGTCGTCCTCGCCGCCCTTGGACGGCTCCGGGAACGGGTACACGATCTCCTCCGGGTGGCTGACCATATCTTCGGCGGCGGCGGAGGAGGGGAGGAGCGAGGGGTCTTCGTGCCATGTGTGCATTGCGCTTTTGGGTCCGAGGATGGAGGGGACGCTGAGTGCGGGGTGCGAGGGTGGGTAGAGCGCGTAGAGCTCGGAGGCGCGGGCGAGGAGGGAGGGGAGAGGGGTTGGCGTGGGGGAGGAGTGGGAACGGGGAAGTGGGGAGTCGGAGGAGCACGAGGAGGCTGAGTCGGCGTCTGAGGCTGGGGCAGTGGAAGCGCCGTTGGGGAGGTCGACGTTGTCCGTGTCAAGACGTGGACTTGGACAATCGCCGGTGCTTGGGGTGGGTTCTTCAGAATCAGAAGCAGAAGTGGCTGATGGTACAGAATTGGGTGCACCGTTGGGCACCGGAGGTTGCTCCCCGTCCCCGTTCTCATTCTCCATCGCAATCTGTTCGGTCGCGATCGACGGCGAGGTGACGGGATACGCGTCTTTCTTCTTTGAGGGAGAACCCTGAGCTTCGTTTGCGTCTGATTCGGATCCAGATGGGGCAACGTCTGTCGGCGTCTCATCATCCATGGCGCCATCGTGATCAGCGTCTGGATCGTCGGTGCTGGCGGAGCTGTCGGTTTCCCCAGAGTGGGCAACGAGCGTCTCCCCATCTGGTTCGCTAATTGTGTCGCCGGGCAGTACATTCAGATCGGACGGCGTCGTTCCGTCGATGGAGACGGCCACGTTGTGCTTGTCCACTGCCCCGCCTCCTATCTGTTCAGAGGTCGCAACATCAGCTGCTGGTCCGGTTGCAGCACCGGGCTTCTCGGAAGCCCTGCCGTCGTCGTCGCTGAGCGGAGGCAAGCCGCTCAGCAGGGAATGGATGAGGCCTTCCTCGTCTTCTTCCACGAGCCGCTCCACTTCTTCTTTGCGCGCTAGAATAATCTGTGATGCAAGGCAAGCATAGATTGATGAAGTGTCAACCGCTGGTATGAAAGAAAATAGGGTGGTTCTTGAGAGCTTACTGCTGCGGCGAGATAGACGACCGTGATCGGGGGGCGACACAGGAGGTAGTCGAAGACGTGCTGGATCAGAGGCAGAGTTGGCATGTCGTGGGAGAAGAGGGTGAGGAGGTTGGAGAGGGCGAAGAACGGGAGGGGGGATGTGCTGTGGGTACGACACGTTCTGAGATGAACAGCTGGAAGTTGAGACGGGTGTGAGAACACGTACCTTTCGAGGACGGAAGCGTAAGGTCCATCGACGAGGCGGAGAAGGTTCAATAATATCCTAAGAAGAGCTTTAGTTGTGGGTGATAATATTGAAGCGGTTCTGTGTACCTCAGGAGGCCGAGTACGGGCTCTAGTGTAAGACCCATGGAATCGCGAACTCTATGCAAGCTGAGCTGTTCTACGCATGGGAGCTGCAGCTCTTCGGGTAGTGTCAGAAACAAAACAGTAACTATGTCGTGGTATCCCTGCCGTACAAAACTCGTTACCCCATCTGTCATAACATAACACAGCCAGGCAAAAACGCACTTGAAAGTAATGTAGCTTTCTCCGTTTACGAAAGAAGGTTACGAGCAGATCGTGTAATTGTGACTGAAGCTTCTCCCGATCAGCACCGACCTGAACTATAATGAATTCACGTTTGAGTATCACGATACCCGGGAACGGACTATAACACAGCGAGTTCACCTACTGGGTAAAGTACGAAGCTGCGGTTGGTGTCAAGCCCAATCTGGTGCTCATCCGGGTGGGGTTGCGGGTCAGGCGTGGCGACAGCGGATGTTTCATCCGTGCTTGCGTCCCGATCATGTTCGGAGGCCCGTGGTTCGCTGGAGCTGTGCTGTGAGGGAGCGGAGATGGCGTTGGCGTGCAAGAGCTTCGCCCTGGAAGAGAACAAGGACGGGAAAGAGGTGGGGGGTGAGTAAGTTTGCACAGCAAGCGTGAGTGGGGAGTAAATGGGCGTCTCAACGAGCACTAACCAGAGTTGTGCTCTTTCTTCTCCGAATCCACCGGGGCGAAGGCTACGTTCTCGGAGTGCTTTCCAGTTGATGGTGGTGTCTAGGGTATTGTTCTTTGCATCCTGTGTCTCTGGAATGTCCTCTGGAGACATTCCGTTGTAGTGAGGAGTGGTGGAGGTAAGTGAAGCCCGAGCGCTTGGAACGAGCTGGGCTAATTGACATGTTTTTCGTAGAGAAGTAGGATATATATGGAAGGTACAGAGGAAACGGAAAGGGAATTTACTCGTGATTTCGTCATGATTTCATTTTGCCGAGGCCAGCCGTGCTTGACACGCCCACCGGTGCAGGTCCAGTCTGTGCTGAAGACGCCGTCGACCGTATACCCTCTGCTCCTTGTCGCGCTCGTGTCCTCCACGTCTTCATATCCCTCTGCCACAGAAAATGAGGCGAACCGCATTTCCCCGCTCCAGTGTCCTTATCCTCGGACAGAGTTCCGTCCAGAGCCTGCTTCCGTCCACGCTCATAACTCAAATCGAATCTCTCCTCGACGTGCACCGCATACAGGATGCCCTTGGTCTCGCGGATCAACAGAGAAGGAAACTAGAAGGCCAGCTGCACGCAGACGCCGACGAGGTCCGTTTCCCCACTTCGTTTCAGCTCAGCCATATGCCTCATGTCTTTCACTTTGCATTTTGCTGCACATGCGCGTCTAACCGCCTCTTGTTTCATTTTCTCTCCTACTTTTCGACGAAACGACACATTGTATACTGCAACTTGCTGCAAAACGCCACACTTCCACTTCCACCTTCGCCCTCGTCCATCTCCGCACATCTACATATCCACAACTCGTTTTCATGCATCCCGCATCCGGCGCTTGATAGACGGAAGAGCTCGCATACGTGTACCAGTGCATCGGCTTCAAGTGTCTCTCCGAGACCCTCTTCGCAGACGCCGGCCAGGCGCTCTACACCGGAAAGCTCGACCCGCGCGTGCTCATCAGCTACTTCCCAGATCTCCGCGGCGCCCTCTTTGGCGAGGACGATGCGGCGGACGTGTATGCGGGCGTCGCGGAGCACATGCCCCCTGAGGCGTCCGTGGACGACATCAGTGAGTTCTCTTCCTCCCGCCGCTCCCGTCCCCTATGTTCGTGCTCGTTTGGCGTTGGTTGGACGTCTATCGGTGTTCTGTGTTGCTTTTTTGTGTTTTGCGTTTTTCTCCGTGCTACGATTCTCTTCTTTCTCTTTCTCGCCCCTCTGCCGGCACCCGCTCACCCGCCCCTTTCCCCACTTCCGCGCACATCACGTTTGCTTTGGCCTTTTCGTACCCCACATTCACGTCCCACGTTCCATGCATTATCATGTATCGTGCTACCGTGTTCGTATTGGTGTTCCCCGTGTTATCGTGCCCACCCCACGTTCCCCGGTCTGCGCTGCGCGGTGCGGAACTGACAGTCGCCGCGAACCTAGTCAGGAACTACTCGCCCCACCTGCCGCCAAACACCCGCGAGGCGAAGCCGACCGTCGAGCTGCGCAAGATCCTCCTCGGCGACGCACACGCGATGCTCGAGACGTTTCTCCGCCGTCTCCGCGCGGGGCGGCCCCCGTCCCCGCCCCAGGACGCGGGAGGAAAGGGCAAGGCGAAGGCGATCGACGTGCATAGGGTGTGTGTCTTCGCGGTGTACTATGGGTATATGTGGATTGATAAGCGGACGGACGGAGCAGGTCGTGGACACGGTGCTCGCGAAGCTGTACGCGCTCAACGGGAAGCCAGGGGACCTCGCGCAGCTGCTGCAGAGCCAGAACGACGTCGTGCTCCCCGAGCTGGAGCCCATTCTCGAGCGGACGGGGCAGCTCGCGGCGCTGTGCGCGCTGTACAAGCAGCGCGGAGAGGATGCGAAGCTGCTCGAGGCGTACTCGAAGTGAGCGGTGTCCGTTATCTTCCCTCGCTTGGGACGGATGACTAACGACTTTGCGCAGGATCGTGGAAGGAACGTGGACCGATCCGTCCGTACGGGATCCGCTCGGCCGCATGGTCGAGGTGCTGACGTCCAAACGCGACCGCGCGCTGAACCAGCGGTGGGCGATATGGCTCTCGAAGCGAGACCCGAAGCGCGCGATGAAGGTGCGTTTCTCCTCCCAGCACTGCGCACTGTGATAACGCTGTGGGTGATCACCTCTGATCCTCGTTTTTTTCCGTTGGCAGATCCTGACCTCCAGGGATTCGAGCAAGAAGGGAAGCAAGGTGGAGGACGATCTCGCGATGCTCGAGCAGCTGCGAGAGGCGAATCCGGTGGCGGCGGCGCAGTTCTTGGAGCACCTTATTATGCAGAAGCGGAGTACGGTGCGTGAATTTTTTGGTGCTGGCTCTACGTAAGCACGGACGCTGACGGTTGATGGGGTGTGTATAGGACAAGACACTGCATAATCAACTTGCGACGACGTGCATCGACGACGTTCTCCAGCACCTCGCGGACGAGTCCGTGCTGAAGCTCTGGCGCGCGAAGGGTATGCCTTCCTCTCATTGATACTGTTACCACAGTGCTAATATACAAGTGTGCAGCATCCTCGTACGCCTCATCAACAAGCATATCCTCCTTCCTGTCCTACTTCGCATTCACGACGCCCGACTCGCCCTCGAAGCGCGCGCGGCTCAAGGCGATCCTGTTTCTGCAGGGCTCGGCGCACTACGACGTCGCGGCCGCCAGACAGCGGCTCGCGGAGCACGCGAAGGTGTTGCCGCTCGAGATGGCGATTCTGGATGGAAAAGTGCGTCATCATTCGCGCCTTGCCGTGCCATGCCATGCCATGTCATGACAGGGAAACACCAGCACCGCAGCTGACCACTGCAATCTTTGGCACGATAACAGCTCGGGAACCACCGCGACGCGCTCGCGACGCTCGTGCGCGCGCTCAAGGACGGCGTGTCGGCCGAGGCGTACTGCACGCTCGGCGGGCACATCGTGTCGCCGCGCGCGGCGCTCGTGCTCGGCGAGAAGGTCGATCTGCTCGCGTGGGCGGGCGCGTTTTTCGGCGAGGCGCCGGCTGTTGCTGCGTCTGCTGTTGCCATGACGAGGTCCAGGTCCGGTGGGGGCTCGGGCAATGCAGGAGGAGGAGGGGGGCGAGGGGCGGGGGTCGTTGGAGGGGTGGTTCCGCTGGAGAGGGAGAAGAGCGTGGATAAGGGGTTGAAGCAGCGGTTGTTGAGGTTGCTGTTGGAGGTGTATATGGAGGACGGGTGAGTTTTGGGTCACACTTGGAGAGTGTACGGTGACTGATCGGCTGCACAGGGAGTCGGCGCGCACGGCGAAGCTGCTCAACTCGCAAGCGGCGAATCTCGATGTCGTCGACGTAAGTGCTGTTCTCGCCTTTCCTACCTGCCTACCTATCACCTAACGGCTGCTCGCCCCATGCGCACACACAGATTGTTCCACTCGTACCGCCCGACTGGCCGCTCGACGTCCTCTCCTCGTTCCTCGCACGCTCGTTCCGGCGCACACTACACGCACGGCACGAGGCGCAGATCGTGAAAGCGGTCTCGAGCGGGCAGAACCTGCGCGTCGCAGACGACGCATGGTTCGTGCTCCGCGAGGCGGGCGCGCTCGTCGAGGAGGCCACCGAGGACGACGGCGAGGGAGGTGGAGCGAGCGCGGGGCAGAGTTTCGACGAGAAAGCGGGGATGGCCGAGAAGGTCGCGGTGCATCTTCAAGCCCAGGCCCAGGCCCAGGCGCAAGCAGAAGCGGTGGATATTAATGCGCATGAGAGATAGGCTGCAGCTGCGGGCCTCTCCGTGCGTGCTGTGGACATCGTGAAGTGTTCCTTCTGCTTTGGTTTACCAACATGGGTCTGCGTGTGTACGAAGGGCCAGGCGAGGCAAAGCTGCCGGCCTTTTTTGCATCGCCGCTCCGGGAGACGATTTCAAAGTGTTATCGTATCGTGATAACACTTTGGACCAAGCGGACGCGGCACCGAGATTTGCTCAGGAGGACTCCTGTTCGCCGTCGCCGCCATTGGGGCCGGGATGGTGTGCTCTCCGCGTTTGGATATGTTATAGCTCTGCGGGTCACCGGATATATCTTGCTCCTCTAATTATAATCTAGTCTCGCCTTCGGTTTTATCAGACTCTTTCTTATCGGACGTGTGTAGGCGCTGGTGATAGCGCTTTGCTCCTGTCCTTCTATTTCCTCTTGATTGTTGACTACCTCCTGAGGATTTTCTCTTGCTGATTTTGATTTACGACGCGATGGCGGAGGTCTCCATCGGAAGCCCGGGGGTGCAATTGGCTATATACGCGGGTTGAGATAGCGGTGTCAACTGTGATTATCAGACGCTCAGACAGGGCAGAGCGAGAGTGCATGCGTTGCTCAGCCTCGTCTTGATCTTGTCTCTCTGAGGGGTTGTCGGTGGCTTGTGATTATGAGTGCGTATCATCCCTCGAGACAGGATCTCAGGGGCCGACATGCGCCGCGCCGATCGAGGATTAGGGAGTAACATGGACGGATATTGTGACGCGTGTGGCTGTACGTATCAGTGATTCAATGCATCCCTGAGAAACGTTTGAAGGCCGAATGGGCAGGTATGAGAGGACGCTGGAGAATGTTCGTCTGGTGTCTGATGACAAGGCTTAGTCGGTAGGTTGTTTACTGTTATGATCAGTGCCTGGGAGTAAGAAGTGGTGGCGCGCGAGGACGTATTGTATTGACGAGTGAATGCTGATAACGACTGAATGTTTTGGTTTGGGGTACCTGATGTTAGACGTAAAACCAGAACAAGAGGGCGTTCGTCGTGAATCGTGGGGACACAGCAGAGGTATTGACGCTGTTGACTATTCTTGCATTCTCGAGGATAGAGCGCTGTGAGACGATGGACGTGACAGGCAGAGAGCAATAACACGTTGCGAGGGCCGATCTCCTTCTTTGAGTGGGGACATATGGGTGCATTGATGTGTTTTCTTCTTCTTTCTGGTGGACAATGTAAAGGCGGAGCTCATCGCGAGATAACGCCGCGAGAGATTGACAAGGACGTTGCTTATGGGTCTACATCGATGACGAAGCTGCGAAATATAGCAAAGCGACAGCGCGTTTTATACCGGAGACAATATCGAAGGAATCCGCCGTTTCTTGCGATAAGGAACGATTCACAAAGGAAGCTTCTTGCATTCCAGACGGCGATGCAACTTTGACGTATACGACGTGCGCGCCCGTGCACGAGATTATTACTGCGCTTACCTGTTGTGCTCACCTGTCTCGCATGGATCAGGATCGTGATTGTTTGGGTGTTTCGAATGTGCGCAGTCGGCCCAAGGTAGATGCGAGCCGCGTCGGCCAGTCGAGTAGCGGGGGCAGTTTGCGATTCTGGATGCCGGGACGAGGGCGGATGACCGAAAATGGAAAGGAGGGCCCGAGAAATCTTATCTGAATCTGGCTGCATAAGGTTATCACATGCCTTTTGCCCTGGGTGGGCGGTGGTGGTATATGAACCCTAACTGTCGCGCTTTGTCGCAACTCATCCACTTATCTCTTTTCTCTTCCTCCCTCTTCCTCGCCCACTTGAACACTCGCCTAATAATTCTGCAATGGCAACTCAGACCCAAACCAGCCCTCAGAACGGCCAGGCTCAGCAGCCCTCAGAGCTGACTGTCATCACCCGTGTCGCGTCCATTCCCCTCGTCGCGTCCTCACTCGGGCAGCTCCATACTGTCCTCTCCTCCAACACCCTCACACGCACTCCCTACTCCCTCGCAGAGTCTGTTTCCAAGTCTGCTTATTCCTACTCCCAGCCCCTTCAGCGCAGCCTCGCTCCCCTGCTTGTCCGCGCAGACGGCTTCGCCAACAAGGGTCTCGATGTTGTCGAGTCCCGCTACCCCTACCCCTTCAAGGCCACTCCTGAGGATGTCGTCAAGCTCGTCAAGGAAGGCCGCGAGAGTTCGTACAAGAGCTTCGACGAGCGTGTTCGCACACCCGCTTTCGAGGTTGCTCAGGGGATCGACCAGGTCAGTCTTAGTTTGGCATGTGATTCTCCGAGGGAGGATTCCAATCTCGCTTAACGCTTCCTTTCTTCGTGACGTCGATTTCTTACGCTCCATCACAGAGATTCGCACCCGTTGTCAACTACTTCGAGGTCATCGTGAACAAGACCAACGGCGGCGACTCGCCCGCGTCCTCGCCCGCCTCGGATGCGAGCCAGTTCCAGTACCAGCGCGCCTATGAACTCTCGAAGCACCTCCGCGACAACGTCTACGTCTACTCGCACGAGCACCTCAAGCAACTCCAGGAGCAAAATGTGTTTGTGTGCGTACCCATATGATTTTCCGCGTCTCAATATAAGCGCCCGTTCTAATCACGATCATAACAGTCAACGCGCGATGGAGTCCGCGCAGTCGATCCAGACCCTCGCCTCGGCGGGGTACACCAACGCTCAGACGCGCATCCACGCCCTCTCGGACAACATCCTCACCGAGTTGCAGAAGCTGCAACAGTCGTCCGCGCAGCTCCCGCAGACGCTCCAGTCCTCGTACCCGGACGTCTCTAACACGGTCGCGCAGTTGAAGGAGATCATCACTGCAAAGGACGTGCCGCTCAACGAGAAGGCGGGCAAGATCGGAGCCGAGGTCCGCGAGCGCGTGAACCCGATGCTCGAGCGACTTTCGCAGCGGATTGGCGATCTCGTCCATGTTCTCGGTGCCAAGAAGGAGGAGGCCAAGGAGGAGGTGCAGCAGCGTGCCAACGGGACTGCACAGGTTGTGCAGTGAGCGGCTGGTCCTTTTTCCTTTTCTATATGGTTTGGTCTTCCCCTTCTTCTCTTTTTCGATTCTTGTACGCCTATCATAGTTGGGCTGGGCCCTATCACGCCTCGTCCGTCTACATATAAGTTATGCCATAGACTCTAGATTCTTCTCTGCATCCTCCTCTTATCATCGATCGATATGCATGGCATGTAATCCTGTCCCCATCTCACATCTCTCGCGCTCCGGGCTCAGCACCTCTCTATGTCTCGTCCTCCTTACAAAGGAGCCGTCCCGTCTGTATGTGTATAGCTTCTGTATGTTGAATACGAAGTGGTACGGATACATTCAAAATGAGCTACTCCACTCTATCCCTAATTGATAAGCAATATATAAAGTGATCTCAACTTCAGCGCAGCGCACAGTAAATAGCCCAGCTACTGAAACGCGCTCTAGATTCCAGCCTCGCCCTCGCCCTGCGTGGCCCGCTCTGCCGCCTCCAACGCCCCCGCGAACCAGCTCAACAGCACGTCTCTCTCCTCGAGCCCGATGCTGACGCGTACGAGGCCCTCCTCGACGCCCCAGCCCGCGGCCCAGGGCAGCTCGGCATAGTGCGCGAGGATGGTGTACGGGCACGCGAGCGTGAAGTTGGTGCCGAGCGAGGGGCCTTTCATACACGGTAGCGCGTCAAAGAAGGCGCGTGAGGCGAGCAGGGAGGTGAACGTGAGGCTGAACAGACCGCCGTATCCGCCCTCGGGGACGCCGGTCGTTGGGGAGAGGACGCGGCAGGTGGCGTAGTTGTGTGGTGTGATGTATTTTGGGTAGAAGACCTGGTTGATGATGGGTGGTTTGGTGTTCTCATTCGGGAGTGAAGATGTGGGGGAAGAGGAAGAGGCAAGCGCAGCAGAGCGCGCATGGAGAAACTCGCACACCGCGAGCGTGTTCTCGTCTACCCTCCTCACGCGCCTCGCAAAGTCGCGCGAGTTGCGCTCCATAAACAGCGCGTCCTCCGCCCAATACACGTCCTCGTACTGCGCGCCCATCGTGCGCTTCAGCGCGGGATAGTGCGCGCCTGCGGGGTTGAGCACGAGCGCGCCGCCCATGGCGTTCGCGTCGCCGCTGAAGATCTTGCTGAGCGAGGAGACGACGATGTCCGCGTGCGGGAGCACGGCGACGTTGAGGAAGTTGCCGATCGTGTCGTCCACAACTAGAATGAAGTTGTGCTTGTCGGCGAGCGCACGCAGGCGCGGGAGCGGGGCGGAGCGCAGGAGCGGGTTGGACGGGAATTCGGTGAAGAGGGCGAGGATCGGGCGCTCGCCGTCGTTCTCGCTCTCGTTAGGGGAAGAAGAAGGAGAGGCGAGAATGCGCTCGAGCTCATCCACATCTTCGTCCAGCCCGTGGCCCAGGAAATAGCACCCCGGCCCCCACTTCTCGAGGATCTTAAGCGTGTCCGTGTACGGGAACCCGAAACACACGCTCTTCGCGCTCTCGCGCACGCCCGCGGGGGCAGCGCCGAGCGCGAGCTGGTGCGCGCTCCAGATCGCGGACATGCCGGTGGGGAAGAGGAACACGTCGTGCTCCGTCACGCCGGGCACGCCGCGCGAGGACGGGCCGAGCGGCGCGAGGGGCTCTTCTGCGCCGGCTTGGCCGATCGCGTCATCCGCGTCGGAGGGGGCGGGGGAGGGCGAGTCGTCGTGCAGGAGGACGCCGGCGATGCGTCTGCGCAGGGCGCGTTTGGCGTGTGGGGCAGAGGATAGGGGGAGATTGCGGCCGTAGCGCTCTTCGAGGTACATGGTTTGGTCGCGAGATAGGGATTCTGCATCTGGTGGCGTGGTTTGTGGGACGGAGGGTGAGGGAGCGGGTTGGGCTGCTGTGGTGGGAAACACGGGCGAGGACGAGGACGACGCAGAGAGCTTGGGCGTGCTCTTGACGGAATAGTGCCTGTTAGGTGCTTTGAAGGCCACGCGGGAGTTTGAGAATGCTGGCGTGGTGGGCGAGGCGGGGGCCGCCTGGGAAGCCGGCTCAGAAGACGCATCAAGGAGTGTGAGACAGTGTTCCGCGAGGCGGGACGACACGATCATGCCGCAGTGCTGCCAAAACTGCTTTGCGTACGGGAACACGTCGGGCTGAAAGAGTGCAATGTGGATCTCAGCAGATCGGTGGGCGGTGTCAGCGTCGCCATTGCTGGTGCTTGTGCCAGCAGAGCTGCTCCCCGCCCGTTGATGCTTGAGTATGGTGGGTGAGGGAGGCGGGGAGGACGCAATGAAGTACTGCACGAGCCGAACGTGGCCTTTCTTCCCCTCCTTGGCGAGCCGATCGAGGATGAATGCGCGGCAGTGCTCCGCGACCCTACGCGACGGGCAGAGCAGACATTTTTCGCCGCCCTGTCCGAATTTCTGCTCGCATATAGCCGCTAACTGTCAAGCCAAAGAGAGTGGCACATGGACGGGTCGCAGAGCCACAAAGGACGAAAGTCAGAAGACGGGTTGGAATGGGGATGGGCGAACTGGGCACACCTTCTGTACAGACCGATGGATGAAGAAACGCGGGTATCCGGTGACCATGGCGTCGGCGACGCGTTTCTCGCCTTCCTCGTATCCGATATTGTCGCGCCATGTGGGAAGAGAGACTGAGATCGCATGCGATGTGAATGGTGGGACAGCTGCACCGAGCGGCTCGCTCGTGCTGGCGAAATTGGGCGGGGCGACGGCTGCGCTCATGATGGCTTTGAAGAGTGTTTCAGTCTTGGCCTGGGGTGTCTACGAGGGAGATGTTGTGTAGATGACGGAGGTATGGGAGGAAGAGAATGTGGGGGAGAGATGGAAAGGTGGGTGCAGGGAAAACATGAGTCAAGGTGGGGTGGTGCCATGGTGGAAATGAATCTAATCGCGCATATAGCCCGAAGCCTGGTCTCGCGCTCGGCCGAAATGTTGACATGATCACACTTGTCTTCTCCAAGTCTTCTCTCGTTTCTCTTGCTCGCTCGTTTGTGCTAAAACCATGACATGCATATCTCTTCTGTCATTCAGTTTTGACTCTCTCTCTCCCTCGGACACATTCTGTCTTCAGAGACGGTGGCGAGGCAGCCAAGGAGGCAGCTGCATGCTCCCTGCTTGAAATATTGTCACCGAAGAGGCAGCTTGAACGGCTACAGCTTACGCGGACCATGTTTATTCCCGTAGCGCCCTTGTTTTCACGACACCGAATTTAATGTCTAGCGCCGGTAGTCGACAGCGGCCCTTGGGTGCGCCACGTTCAAACAGTGGGTGTACACTCTGCAGTGTAAACTCACCGCTTAGCTGACACCCCTAGACTACCGGGAAAGCATTTGGTACAAGCTCTCACAGGAATGTGTTCACGCCGCTGCCTACGATTCTCCCGACCGCGAGCCCTCCGCCACCTGCCTTGAAAACACCCGGGTCGACCTCCTCCATGCTCTCCGAGTGGCGGTCGACCAGCCGCGCTCAGGTATCCTCTGGCTGTCGGGGGAGTCCGGTTCTGGCAAGTCAGCAGTCGCGCATACATTCGCAGAGAGCTTGCGTAGGCGAGCATCACTAAATGGGCGGTCCAAATATAAGTACATGAGCAGTAGTAGAATCCGTTATAACTGACACCGTACCTTAGTGATATTTTGAATCTCCAGCACGAGTGGAGCGTAAAGTCCGTTTTTAACATACAGGAAATCAGACCAAAATCAGACGGTGAAATGGTCAGATCAGGGATGATATTATAATATTGATGGCTATCTTACCGTTGACGGTGCCTGCATGATAATTACATGATAAGATCGGCTGGTGTTTTATGCCGTATGATAAAAGCTCACACCATATGATGAGGACTCGCAATCTCGCCCATGATTCCAATGACAAGACATTCATTGTGAATATTATATAGTACATGATGTAGCATTATGCGAGGTTAAACCGATGAACGAGGATAATACACGAGAGCAGCAGCAGTAGACGAGCGCAGGCGCAGGAAGTACAAAGAAAGAATAAAGCGTATAGACCGTGAAGCGACAGTTGGAAGGGAGCAAGAAAATAAAAACATACGTTAGGGCGAACACAGGCCCGGGACAAACAATCTCTGGGAAGGGAGGGGACGTGAGCGAAATGAAGCAGTGATACACTGATATAACATACCTAGTTGCCAGTCTTCTTCGCCGGTTGTTTTCCCCCTGTACTAATCCTGGCACTCTTTGCCCTGGTTCGAATGGCAGGCTTTGCCACCGGCGCTGGATCTTCTTCAATTGAGGAGAGGTCGGACTCGATAGCGCTCGCTGGTGCCTTGCTACCGGAGGACGTGGGTGTTAGAAGTTATGGTATATTAGACCCCATACGCAGTAGTACATGCAGATGGGGGAAAGCGAGGCGAGAGGTCGCCCATATATACATGTCGGCGACCCCATGCATTCCAACCTTTATCCCTTCACGTTGTCCCGCTTCTCTGCTTCTCTACCTCTCCTGAGCATCCCGAGCTGTCCTCTATCCGCTTCTCTGCTTCTCCCGAGCATCCCGAACCGTCCTCTGTCCGCTTCTCCGCTTCTCCCGAGCATCCCGAGCCATCCACCAGACCAACGCCGGAGCGGTGTACAACCTCACTCCGACAGAGAGCGGTGATACCAGCGATGAAGAAGGAGACCCAGCATAGCTTGCTGAAGCAGAGACTGCAGCACGTACAGATCAAGAGCTTTTTTTGGGTGAAGACGAGGCTCTCACCAACGCAACTGGGTTCGCATCATTGTAAAGGTCAGCAGGTATTCGAATCTCTACCGTTTTTATTGTTCGTTAGTGTTCGTGTCTACCTAAAGCGGTGGCTGCCATATGCAGTTGAAGTTATCGCTCAATGATAATTATGTTTCTGAAATGGTCTCCGTATTTTATATTCGACTAACAAATGTACGAGCAAGATCATCAATTTTGATCAATGGTAAAGTGTCCGCGACATGGTGTTCGGCCGAAATTCACTACCACACCATAAGGATATGTTCACTCAATGGGAATGCGTCACCATTCGTGATCATACAAAACTATCTCGACGACGATATTATAACAGTGATCACTCGGTATAACGGTCAAACTTTTCCCACCCATTTAGTGATGAGACAGACTGGCAGGCACCTTCTTCTTCTCCCGAAAAGACATTGAACGCAGGAACCTCGGCCGTTTCTTCGTGACGATCGGGTACCAGCTCGGTGTCTCTCGGTGTTCGCCATCCGCGCGCGAACGAAGTTATTGTCAAAGCTATCAACGATGACCCTGCTCTTTTGCAGCTTGGCAAGTCTCGAAGAGATCATTTCACTGCCTTGTTTCTATCCCCCATCAAGATGCTCAAGCACTCATGGCAAGAAAAGAGGGTTTTTATTTTCGAGGCTCTCGATGAGATTGCATCGGCGACACCCCGGGATAGCCAACTGCTTCAACTGTTCATGCTCTTCTCGGAAGCTTTGCAGGACCCCAACGTCCCGCCCATACACATCGTCATCACCAGCCGCCCTCGTCCCGAAATCAGACTAGTCATGGAATGGCAGGAAATCGCCGACCACGTCCAGACCATATGCATGGAAGACTTTGATACACAGGAAGATATTGCTAGGTATCTGCAGGACTCGTTCAACTCCATCTATTATCGCCACAATCTCTCCGCTATCCGTACGCTTCCATGGCCCCCTGATGCGACAATGAAAACCCTCCTAGAGCGCTCTCATCGCTTCATTGTCGCAGCTACGTTAGTACGCTACACTGACCACGAGGCTGCAGAAGTCAGACTTTCTTCTTCATCGAACATCCTTCAAACAAACACCGTCAACCCGGTCCAAGACGTCTTTGATCTCTACCAAGCGGTTGTCGACTACTCAGCCGAGGACGTTGCGAAATGCTTTCAGTTCCTATCCGACCTCGTCACGTTGGCCCAACCGCTTCCAGTACGCGACCTCAGTGCTCTGCTCGGTATTGGTCGACACGGAGTTCAAGCTATACTTGATTCAGTATCAGCCATAGTTTCAGTCCCCAGCAAGCCGACGGAACCGGTTATCGTCTTCCACCCCTCACTTCGAGACTTCCTCGCAGGCAGCCCGCATCCAAGCGCCAACCTTGATAACTCGCATCGCCGTCTTTTTTGTGGCTGTATGCACTTGATGGCTAGAGAGCTCACAACGGACATATGCGGCCTGGGCGACGCATTCAAGCTCCATGCAGAAGTAATAGACTTTGCGCGCAAGGTCGAAACTCGTCTCTCTTGGGCCCTCAGATATGCATGCCGTCACTGGATCTTCCACCTGCAGTACGTCCAACCAGACGCTGAGGTGACCTTCTTAGTCCACGAGTTCCTCCATAATCGCTTGCTCCACTGGGTTGAGGTCCTCAGTCTCGTCGGGCAGCTCAATGACGTCGTGCTCTACGCTATCAAGGCGAGGACGGTAATCTCGGTAAGTAGTCTCCTGAACGCGTGAACCCTCGGCTCAAGTCGTTCCTTAGTCATGGGAAAGTTTTGATCACAAGAGCGAAGCCATGACTCTTCTCTACGAACTCCAAAAGCTTATCCTCGAATTTTTCGATTGCATCAGCGTGTCCGCGCTTCACGTCTACCACTCCGCTCTTCCTTTCGTACCAACGACAACTCGCCTTCGCGCTGTGTATGGCTTGGCTCTGCAAGCGGCCAACGTAGAAGTGGAAGAGGGCCTTGACACTGAATGGGACTTTTGCCACCGCACCATCGAGTGTTTGCGAGCAAAGGCAGTCTCGGTGTCTCCTGACGGTGAATGGGCTGCGGTTGCGTCGGAACAGGGAGTTCTGATATGGGACATGACCACTGGTCTACTGATTACGACCGTCAGTCAAACGCCGGTGTGTAAGACATTGGCGTTCTCGCCCGATGGCCGCTTCCTCGCTTTTGGCACTTTCTCCCCGAGACGATGGCAATTATGGAACATGTTCAAAGACACCACATCGATCCCTCTAGACAACCCATCGGATGCCGTACCATGTTGCTGCGCATTCTATCATCGTGGTGACCGCGTTGCGTGCGCCTTCGAGCAGCCTTCTGAAGCTTTGTCAAAGGTTTATATTTGGGATATGACCACACGAACCTCTCTTTTCATAGTGCACTTGGATGCTATCCGACACATGCGCTTCTCTCGTTCAGATGAGAAGCTTTTATCGGCTACGGACGATACTGTCTACGTATGGCAAAACACAACAGGAGCCCAACTACAGCGGATCGATCGTAATCAAGGTAGTTTCCCGCGGGATAGCTGGCACTTCTTCACCCCAGATGACCATCACATCGTACATATAATCACTGGACACAGCCGGACTTCGAGTTATCCGCACGCATTGCCTACGCTTGGTGTGCTCGTCTCTCCTAGCATAAGAGCCACCTCGCTAGTACCTGCACAAGTCAATATCTCAGTTCGTGTTGCCATGCGAAGCGGGATCTGCATCGCTGCACGCATCGAGGACAAACTGTTCACAGCCTCTCGCCATGATGTCGACCTTTCTCTAGTGAAGGACCGAAGCCCGATCATGTATGCCACCAAAAACTCCGGTAAAAACTTTGAAGGTCACGATTTGGCTTCAGGAGTCTCGTTCTTAGACCTGTCTCAAGCTTGCTTCGGGGTGGTAAAGCGGAAGCGACCTGTCGCAACTCCGCCAGAGATTGCTACGATTGTGCTCCCAACTTGGACCGCGTCGAATTCATTCGTTTTAGGAGAGCATATAACTACGACGGTCGAAAAGCGGACAATGACACTCCCCAGGATCCGCTTCATCAGTGCAGATGCGGACAGCGGCCACCGCATCGTCCACACTCATCAGGTAGATCCAGATCACCGCGAGATTATTGTGTTCGCTCCCAGGATGCAAGCTATTGCATATCGCTGTAGTGCTGCCGGTCCCATAAAGCTGTTGTGTCTGGGGCGAGAAAAGCTCGTTCAGCATGACGTCTGGAGGATTGGGGATGCAATCTTTGCATGGAAATTTTCCAACAGAGCCACGTTTTTGGCTGCCGTCTTTTGGCTGAAGTACAGCGATCTTCCGCGCCTGCGACAGTTTCATCTATGCGTATGGGAGGTTGCAACAGGTGCATTGGTAGGCGAGATGACTCTTGTCGACGTCGATAGGTCTTCCATCGCATTCTCTCCCAATGATGCACACCTTGCTGTCGTGTGCAAGTCACAGAAGGAGCTAGCCGTGTTCTACATCCGGAAGAAAGGAAAAGGCTTCGCCCGGATCTTCACTTCTAATGCACCTCCACAGTCATCTTTCTTCGCCCCCTACTTCTCGGAAAACAACACCATCCGTCATGTCCTCGTGTGCTACCAAGACTTTGGTACCGTTTCGGTTGCAATTCAGCATCAGAACATTTACGCTTCGTCGAATAACGGGCTTTACACCCTTCCACAGACTATCATTCTCGACGAGCGCAAACCTAACACACGAAACAACGCAATCGAGGTCCTTGCATCAACTCAACTCTCGCGAGTTCTTGTTCATGGCTCAGCTTTCTCCGTGGTGCTCGATCGCCCGCTCGAATTTGTGGAAGGATCTTCACCCACCGAAGAAGGCACCCATAGCATTAGCAATCGCATCACTATTGGTGAATCCGAATTCGACACCCTCACATGGTCCGATGTGCGTCTTACGCGAGACGGATGGATTTTCGTCGGCGAGAAACGCGTCTGCTGGGTACCTGTGAGGTACCGGCTGAAGCAGTCGCAAGGATACACACAGGCCAATGACCGACCGAAGGCACCAACGGTCGGCCAGATGAAGAACCCGCAGAGCTTTAGGGGGTTTGGTAATGGGATCGTGTTGATGGAAGGAAACAGGCATCTTGTGATGAGGTTCCGCGGGTTGGAGGTGAGGTACTTTGACTGAGAGTTCTTCAATGAGATGTGTACATCTGAACGTGCTGTCCTAATCTACGATGCGTGTTTTGGATCGTCTTATGCTTTATCAAGGTGATCCCCGTTGTTATTTGTCGGCGATATATCCGGCGCGAGCTCCACCTTCGAATTCAAACCAGTGGTAGCAATGCTTCGCGGGTGCACCGAGGGATCAAGAAACTAACAATAAGTCATTACGTTTATGTACAGTGGCTCTCTGATTTCCGTGACATCGCCGCTAGGTCCAACCCGAACAAGGAGGATATCTGGATGAATGCTGCCTGCAGGCCACTCAAAAGTTCGCTCCCCGCTCAGAGTTTTTACGACATACTGGTAGGGCGCGGGGCCTCGACGACAATAAGATCGACTCGAATTCAGGCAAATTGACTAAAGTCGAGCGAAGAAGCTCGACGCATGTGACCAATTCCTCGTCAAGCTAACTTCCATTGAGTCGGATCCGAATCTTCGAATCGCCGAAGCACCGGATATAATAGCCTGAATGCTACTCGACAAAAGTGTCCCAGAAGACTTCATGTTTAATATCGAACAACACGGCTTCCCAGATATGATTATTCGAAGGAGAGACAGAGTCGGATGTAAAACTAGGCAGGGCCGCGTCCTTCTGTTGAAGGTGGGGAGAATCATTTCCTAATTGTGTTGACATCCAGTGAGAAAGTATCCTAGTCCATTTTAATGGACAGGCTCGAAAATTAAAAACCCGCTCAATCGTCGACGGCATTACCATTGGCTCTAGTGACGGTAGATTTGCATCGATGTTCTCCTTCCTGAGCCTTTTGTCCTTTTGTAGACGCATTGGAAGCAAACGGACAAGGAGAGATGCGCCACGACTCTCGAGGGAAAGTACACGTTTATAAGCGCCCACCAGATGATGCGCTTAACTTATATATTAAGACGATAGACTGACGCTTCCCCTTGTGGCGAGGCTTCCGTTGCCGAAAGTTGCCCGAAAGGCAGTCCAATTTGCTTATGCCCCCCGACAGGGACCCACGTTTCATTATAGTGCGGAACACAAAAAATTGTGTGACCTAAACGGTTAGCCGCACGGCCGCCTTCCGTAGGAAGTAATACAAGAAAGTTAGACTTGGATGCACATGTCATGGCCCATTCCTAACAAATATCTGCTTGATGAGTGTCTGTTATGTCATAACGTGGCCACGTAACTGTTCCGCAGGCTTTTGTGTTTTTTTATGAAAAGGACCAAGAACATGTGTGGCCTTGACTGTCCTAAGATTAAGAGACCCGACGACGAGGACGGATTCAGAACAAATTGGAGCGCAGCCGATCAATCAATTGACGTCAATTCCTCGGCTTTTTTTGTCTACACGCTTGCTACACGCGGTATCTCGCCGGGACGAAACCCGGCATAAACGCCAGAGAATGGGTTCTTTCCTGCTGTGAACAGGAAGTCGAAAACGCGCTCCTCGGCTAAGCAGAGTAATTCCCGGATTTCTTTGGGTTAGTCGAATCGGTGGCTGTCGGGAACAACGCGCTAGAAGCTTGAATGACATACAGGACTTTTTGTCCATTTTTCCGCACTGAAGCGAGCAGCGTCAAGCAGCGGTATACGGTACGGGAGGGTGCCCGGACACATACTTCGTTACTGGATGAAGTCATTAATAAGCTCCAGAGCGGAACGCCCAGCACGCGAGACTGCATCACAGTACCGATGCGGCGCAAGAACGTTCTCGGCTATGCATAGAACAAGAATTACCAGAAGCAAATTTTGGCCTTTTCTCGTCACGATATGTTGTCAATCGCGAAGGGCACTCGAATTCATAGCAGTGCATCGTAACATAGAGAGGATATAAGGACAAGCGGGCTTGTCTCGACTCCGTCATTATCGAGCACAAAGCCTCGACCACGTTTTTCAGAACAAAATCGGTGTCCTAACCTCCCTTCAACCCTTTTACGGTTACATCACACGCGTTCTTATCTTTCCTATGAACCAATACCCCAATAACCCTTGGCCTAATGACGGCCCGAGCCAGGGATACTCATACGCGGATGAGCGGGAGAAGAAGAAACAGACCCAGGCGCAATACCGTGACGAAGAGCGACAGCTAATTCGCAGGCTGCAAGTGTTGACTGGATCTCCGGACAAACGAGCCACCGTGCTCCAGAAATGTTAGTCCCTGTTGACGTTTTCGGCGCGATCAGAACGCAAGACTGACAGTTCGTCGACAGCGGCAGACCAGATGGAGGACTTGGTCTGCAAGGTCAAACAGCTCACGCAGGAGAACCAGGTGCTCAAGGCCCAGCTAGAGCGATTGAGTGCCGAGCACCAGCAGTTGCAGATAATGGTGCAGCAGCAGCAGCCACAGGCGCAGCACGGCGGATGGGACCAGACCTACCATCGCCACTAGAAGCTCAATGACTTGCCATAATTACTGTATATTCGATCCTTATTACCTACCTTTTCATAGCACCAGCATGATCTGTCCGATCTCCTCTGCTGCGAGGACGATATATACGATAGATGATGTCCTGTGTAGAATTTGACACTCCTAAATTATCGTCTTTAGCTTTCTATATTAATAATTAATGTCAATACATCACTGTCTGAAAAGGCGCGGCCGAGGTGGACCGATACGTTTCCGGCTTGGCCGGTCACCGTGTGCAACCAGAGCGTGTTAAGCGCCGTAGGCAAGAAACGGCAGTTTCACCTCTCTTCGTGCCTTGAGATAGTCGTTCAGTTAGCTTAGAGATGAGGAGGGTACGACACGCTCCCTGCTCACAGCATGACGACGGTTCCTTGAAGATCTATGCCCATGGTGAAACAACCAAAGTAGGTTTTTGGTGTCAGCCGCCAATGAGCCGCCCAGCGGAGACGCGGCTCACCCATCAAAGCACCCAACAGCAACACCCGTAGATCTGCATTGCATTGTCTAGTAGCACTTGGACTGGATGTCTTGCAGCGCAAGGTACTGCATCGGAAGTCGATTTTGACCGGAACAGCAGGGGGCATGGCCTTGAGGGCGGTTCGGCTTTCTCCGGACGCTTAATGTCGGCAATTGTTCGCGTGAGTTGCTGTAGACGCAACAGACATAAACTTGTAGGACCGTGTCTGCTCTTGTACTCTGCTTCCCGTACGTTTCCAGGCGGCACTTCTGTTCTTCCTAACCTTAGTCCTACCCTTATCTTGCAGCCGTTTCTACGCAAGGTCCATGGCTCATGTATCCACCCTACTTTCCAACGTTACCGACTTTCCCATTCGGCGTTGCAACATGCGCACGTATTCAATCAACACCAACTAGGCGATGTTAGAACTGTGCGCAAAGCTAGAGCTTATTTGTTAGCCGGGTCTTACTGTGCGTTACTCCCTTCTCTGCCTGCCCCGGAACATCCTGTTCCGAATGACTGATGATGACTCTTCGTAGCAGCCGAACTGGCCGATTCAGAACGGGAACTTGGCCGTTTCGTTTCAGCTCGACATGACAGCTCTTCATGAAGTGCCAGGTATTGGCTCGTCCGTCTAGACACCGGAAATAGCGCGCCGACGGATGCTTTGGTGGCCCTGCTGGTTCTGGAGAACCGCCCATCACTAGGATCACGATGCAATGCCACCACGGAACGTTCTTGGGTAGCAATGCATCGGGCAGAACGTTCCTATGCCGGACTTCAATGCAGAGCTAGGGACTCACGTCAGCGGAGTGCCCGTGGAGGTATATAAGCTGTTCTGGGGGACCCGTTGTTCCTTACTTTTTGATTCCCCCAACCCACGTTAAGTTCCAGCCATCACCACGACGATCTTCGAGTACACCATCATGTCCCAGCTAGAAACATCCTTTGCTGCACTCAACGACGATGAGAAACGCATCATGGAACGTCTCCAGAAGCTAACTGGCAGTTCGGACTCTGAGTCCCTGGTCGTGTTGCAGAAATGTACGTGGAACCACTTCTCTGGACTTCCCCTGCCTGACCAGCGTCTTCTCAGCTGTCGACACTTTGCAAAGTCTCGACTCAAAGCTCACAATTCTTCTCGAGGAGAACAGGCAATTGCAGAAAGAACAGGACGAGTTGGAGGATCAACACAAACGTCTCGCAGCGTTGGTACGGTCGAGACAGGCTGAGATGGCTGCAAGGGCGGGTCAGTAGTAGCAGGCTTTCGGCGAGGGAGATTAGCCTCCATGCGGCGGTTCTGTTGTATCCCCGCGGACGACTTGTAATGGTTTTTTGACGTCTTCATATTGCATTGATACCTCGCACGACTTTGACTTACTCCGCTCCATATTCACCTATCATTATTCTCTATTAGTAACTAGCTCGTGCCCCGACCCTACTCTAGTCCCAGTAATGTGACGGTGCTGGAAACAACAACGTTGGCTTCTCACAGATTTTCGATAGTCCTGCGAGAACTCGGCGCATTGTTCAGTTGTCGAGGGAGTGCATGGGTACCCGCTGTCACACGTCAAATTCAGGCGCCGAAATCGCCAGATGGAGCCTCAGAACGTGGAGTTCCTGTGAAGCGCAACGTTCTCCCCTGTGACTTTTCCAGTATCATGCATCAAGGTCTGTATGTTTCTGACGTGGTTTCGATCATCTGCGCCTACCTTCAAGATCACAAGGCAGATTTAGCGAGACTCGCTAGAACATGCAAGGTCCTATGCGAGCCGGCTTTGGACCAACTTTATCAGGAGGTAGACAGCCTAGAGGAACTCGTCTACGTCTTGGGGCAGAGCGATGGGCACTGGCAAGGTGATCCGCAAGGAATTACAGTATGTCCTTGCCTAACATCTCAGTCAACAAATGCGAATAACACCACAACAGATACGGCGTCGTCTCGATGCAACAGAATGGAGAACCCTCTACTCCTGCGCCAAACGCGTCCGCAAGTTATGTGTTCAAATAAACCGCCTCGCCAACCCAGCCTTCTATGTGGAGTTAAGCTGCTCTCCTCACGGCCCATTGCTCCCATCACTCCAAACACTAGTCTTGGAAAACAACTCGGAACTCAATTCCTGTCTCTTCAAGTTCTTGTTTGTGCCTAGCCTGCAAGCTTGCGAGATCAATGCTCCACACGATACCTTGCCAGTACTGGTAGGGTACTTGCGTCAGTCAGCACCTGCTATACAACATTTGGTCCTCCGTTCGACGCGGTCTTGGGGGAATTTCAACGTAGCGTTGTCAACGGACCTACAAGGCTTTACCAATCTAAAGTACCTAGATCTATCGTATTCTCGCCTATCTTCTGGCGTCTGGTCGATCATGTCTCGGATGCCACATCTAGAAGAGCTAGAGGCATTCGCGACTCGGACACCATTGTCATCAGATCCTCGGACCGAGTCTCACTCCTTACGCCCACACGCAGAAGGAATGCGTCCTCCATTTTATAGCCTCAGCAAACTCACGCTGATTGGTGGACCTCTGGACTGTGCTACACTGATTCAAACCTACCATTTCCCTTCCGTCAGCTCACTCGCCCTTGAATGGACAACGGGAGTCTCCGCAGATGATCTAGTCACGGCCATCAAGGACATAGCTACGACTTTAAGCCCAGGTCATGTGTCCGCGTTACGCATTCACTTGGGCTCGTCCTATATAAGCACGCGGCTGGGCTCCACCAATAACTCACAACCGCCATTGACATTTGTCGCCTTTCGACCTCTCACTGTATTCGCATATATCACGTCGTTGACCTTATCCTTCGACCGCATAACCGAGTGGACAGACTCGGACGTCGCGGACCTCTCGACTGCGATGCCCCGCCTGCGAACGCTGAAGCTCGAGGTTTCGTCGAATATCGACTCGAGCTTGCTCTGGGCCGAGCACCGGCTGATCACGCTGGAGGGTTTACGTGTCCTTCTTACCAACTGCCCCGCACTCGAGCAGCTGACTACAACCATCCATGCACACAAACAACCCCCTCCGCTGACGTCAATGAACATCCCAAGTAACAACCGGATCAAGCATCTTGACCTGTGGACTTCCCTAGTGGGCGACCCCTTCTTCGTAGCGGCCCTGTTATCTCGGATGCTTCCGCGCCTCACTTCCATCCATCATCATCCCGGAGCCTACTCTAGCAGACGCGGGCTTACCACAACGGAGGTGCGGATGAAGAAGATATACAAGAAATGGATGCTAGTCGAGACGCTGCTGAAGGGTTTTTCCAGTAGGCGAGCGTACGACCGTCAGTGGAAGTACGGAGGCGCGCTCGAAGACAATTTTGAAACCAACTTCGAGAGTGATAGCTCTGAATCTGAATCTGGTGAAAGCTCCAGCTCCGAAGAGGACCATTAGATCGGGAGAAACAACAGCGTCCAATTGTGAAATTAATGTTATGCGAGACCGGTATATATGACCGGTATATAACTCTATCCCAACACTACTCGTACTGCGTGCTGCTTACGAACATGACGAGAAATTTAAGTTAGCAAAGTCTATCAGTATCTACCTGAAAATAACGGCATATTCTAGCATTGGCCGAGGAACGAGTTTTTCGGCATCGACTGGGCGTAGCCTCCGGCCGAGCGAGGTTCCGTCCAAGTCGTCATGTTAGGGTTACTGTACGCCTCCGGGTACCTAGATACGCAATACAAGCTCAGGAATCCATATATACGGCGATTGACGAATTTGACTCACTGTTGGATATACGCCGAAGTCGGGTAGTCTTCGGGGTCGCACCCGATGTTGATCGCGTCCTTGGGCTGGTACACCCGAATCCAGTCGATTCGCATCTTTGTCGGGAACTTCAGGTGGGCGGTATCCAGAGGCACGAATTGGTTGGCGAGGGCGACGTTGGCGATGATGTACTAGAATTCCAGCAACCAATCAGGCAATCATTCGAGTTTGAAATCGAGTCGAAGAAGAGCAAAATCAGTGGTTAAGAATGCTCACCATGGGCTCGCCCGTAATGGGCCGGTCATTGACCTCAACCAGTGGGTCGGCCGCCATAGTGGCTGCGTCCATTGACCATGAGACATCCCCGTTGGCTATCCAGGTGATATACTAAGGGATTCATCAGCACTAATTTCGTACATGGGCTGCATGTACATACTCCACTTTGATTCTGGTATCCTGGATCGCACGGTGAGGTTATGCAACACGTGATATAGTGGTAATGTGACGTACCGGGCTTGTACTCAAATCCATGAGTGGCGAAGCATCCGGTGTTTTGGTCGAAGCAGTCTGGGTCTACGCGACAGAAACGTTACCGTCAGCGGTCAATCAGCCGCAATGATAGACATACTAGCTTTAGTGACGGCAGACGTCGCTTGCTGGTAAATGCCCCCAGCGTAAGTGTTGTAAGACGTGACGTCAGAGTCGGCGATACTGGTGGCATTCTCGATGAAGGTGTATCCGTGATTGAACGGCTAAGGGAATGAACATCGTATCAACCTTCAGGCAGATGAATTATGAACTCCTGCTCAGCTTACCGCCCATTGCGCGGATTGCGAGAGGCCCGCAGAACCCACCCCTCCGCTCACCTGGAAAGTTATATAAGGTTCGTGCACGTATGCTACCTAGCGCACGGACTGACCTGAGCTTCAAAAATATCAATCTCAGGCGCCGATCGCCCGACAAACGTCCCATCGCTGTGCACCGGGCCTGGATGGCTCTCCCCTTGGCAAGTGCACCGTGACAGCCGTTGACCGGGCATATAGGAAAGTACACCGCCATTGTACTTATCACCGCCCGTCAGCGCGTCCGGCGGGCCGCCGTTGTGAGTCTGATTCGGCGCCGTCCCGATGTCACATGAGTCGTAGACGTACGGCCACTGTTCGGACGTTCAAGTTTCAATGGATATGGGCGCGAGGAAAAGAAAAGGCTCACCATGCCATCAAGGGAGGCGCCGTAGCCAACACGTCCTGTGGTTGTCAACACGACTTACAATCTCCGAGAGCACAAGTGCCTTACCCAAATTGCCCATGGTCCACACAGCGGGCCACATGCCTAGGGTAGTCGTTGTTAAAGAGTACCAAAGTTAGCGTCAGGAACACTCACCAGAGATGTTGCTAGACCCAGGCAAGCTAATAGATGCCATGATGAGACCACCTGTAAAACAGAATTTGTTCCATGTCATCACCTCCCCGCTCATATAGTTCAGGTTATTGATCTCCTGCTCGGAGGTGGTGATCACGAGGGAGCCGTTTTCGGTGGTGACTGCCTGCGGGGAGTACCACTCGAGGTCGTTGGTCTATCCAAAAAGAGTTTCATCAGCTTTGAAAAACGTGGCTGCCGCACAAGGATGCCACTCACCGCCCACGCGTACAGGTTCGACGCCTCCCAGTACGGATCGTCGCCGGGCCAGAATGTGCGCCCGTCCTGCTCGAACTCGTCGCTGAAGACGAGCTGCCACTCGCTGCCGTCCGCAAAGGATTTGTACGTGTGCGCGTCCGACGGTGTGTCTGCGTCGATCAGGCCGAAGTTGCCTGCCATCTTTGGGATCTGTCGCGGCGTCAGACCCATCATATGCGCGAGACAATGTGTAATGAGGGATCCTGACCTGTCCGCTTGCGTTGATCCCGCCCAAGTTGAAGCCACCGTTGTTGGACAAGTCTTTACTTATAAAATAATGCGCCAAAGGGTATCCTGCGCTATTGAAGATCCGAATGTCCAAGGGTCAGCCCTGCGCGCAGTAAACACATTGCGGTGAAGGAAGGCTACATACAAGAGCCCAAGGAGACACGCCACCAGGACGAGGAGGAAGCCAAGATTGGTGAGCCCCCTGAAGGTGAAGATGCTGCCTCCGCGGTCGGCCTTGCGGTCTCTCTTTGGATCTGGTTCGTGGAGGTAGTCGTCGGGCTCCTCGTACCCGGCTCCAGGCATGACGTTCACGCCCCACGTTGCGGGATCGGCAGAGAGCGAGAACTGCTCGATCGAAGGTCAGGGGGAAAATGGAGCAGCGCAGCGCGAATCAGCACGGGTGCACGCGCTCGCGACGAACGCACGCCGTACCTTGTCGGCTACCGTGCCGTGAGTCGCTCGTCGCTCCGCCGGCGTGCGGTAGTCTCCTGTGTCGGGCTGCGGGGAGATGGTATCAAATTCTGAAGTCGCTGAACGCAGCTTATGAAGATACATACCCAATACGTAGAACCTGCGATGCTAGACGACATCGAGAGGTGAGAGCCCTGCTGCCCATACACGCGCTGCTGCGTCTGCTGGGCAAATTCAGCGTTGGGAAGGAGTCCAGCAGTCGCAGACCCATCGGAGGGGTCATCCTGGCGGCGGCGCTGACCAGAGCTCGCCATAGTCGAAGAAAGAGTGATGAGATGTACTGAGAAGGATGTGGTAGAAAGGAAGAGAGTAAGAGACAAAAAGCGTTACCCAGACGATCACCAAATGTGTATGATCAGATGGCGACGATGGGCGAAAGAAGGGGGGAAAACACGACATCCGGCCCCAGCGGGAGACACGGCTCTGAAGAATTGAGCAACGGATTAGAAGTGGATTGACGCATCCGCGGTGGTAGTACTGCTTAGTAGAGGCCGCGTGAGACCAAGCTAGAACGCGTCTGCTGCGCATCATGCGCCAGAAGCGTGTACTGAGGTTTGCTACACCTTGTTCTTGATCGATCTTTGCGATATGATGTTCGGAACGGTTGGACATAATCTGTCAAGGCGATGATCGTCATCACGTCCGCCTCGCATGTGCAACGAAGCGTGGAGTCCCCCGTCGTCGAAAGAGGAAGCTGTGAAGCAGAATAGATGTTCCGGTGCGAAGAACATACAGTCGACTCTCCCTTACTGCATACCTCCCTTAGTGCATACGTTCTAGTAATGCATAGGTTTTGGGCTTTCCCGAGTTGGTTTGCGGGGTAAGCGCCCGTAATTCGCATAACGCATAATGCATAGGCCAGCAGGCTTGCCAATGCATAGCTCAGGGGTAAAAAGGGCCGAGTTTGCCGTGGTTACAGGCTGATTGACTAGGATGTATGCAGCACCTCCCTCTGTCCCGGTCTCTTCTAGGCTTGTCGACGACCCCCACTCGCAGTCCAGCACTCCAGACAAGCTCCTCATGAACGCAGTCGACAATCTTGAGACACGGGGTGTATTACATAAGCGCAACCGACTTCAAATTGACAAGCTTCTTACCATGAGCAAGACCACTGACGACGAGATTCTAATTATCCTTTTTGGAACGTCTCCGGTCTAATAATAAGAATAAGATACCTATTTTTGGTTGAGGCTGTGGTGAAGGCATGGGAGGTGCGGGTCAATATGTAGAGTACAGGGACAGATGACGTTGACAACGAAGGTGATGTTATCGAGGAGCTGCCCAGGCTCGAGAGGTCCTTCAAGTATCGGGTCTGATCAGTAAGTACATCGCTGCATTAGATGACCGGCCCATGGCACGGAAGTTGGAGGCTTTGCTGGGGTCATTCAATCGCCAGCTGCACTTGGATCAGGTGTCGAGCTTGAAGGAGACTCAAATTACACAGTATTTTGTATCACATACATAGTTTTCGTACTACTGGGTCTAGAACAACATATAATTAAATCGGGTTATTTAGCCCCTATTTATCATGTCTCTCCCTATGTGCATACCCTCCCATAATGCATAGCCTGGAGCATTTCCCGAGGGGTATGCAATATGGGAGAGTTGACTGTACATCGATCGACAATTTGTAAGCTGTCGCCAGGCTGACCGTCACTTTGTGCCAAGTGATTCTGAATGAAAGCGCATTAGTGCCGAAAACAAGCCGAAAAGTTCAATGGGGCTTGAGAAGGAGCAGAAACAACGGCCTGCGTGTCCGAGGTGTGGAAAGTGGAGCCTTGTAACAACTTTCATCTTGATGAATGCTGCGCATGCCCTTCAACATCATGTTCAAATGACGGCGTATACGGCCGGCTCAGGGTTTTGTTACGCGAACCTGCAAGACTCGGAACTTGAGGAGAAGAGGAGCCCTTGAGTGACACCGCGGTATTCTTCGGGCAGGAGATCCATCAAGTGTTATGAAGGACCGACTGAAGGAATGGGGAAGTTTTTGTGTTTTGTGAGCGGGAGAAACCTCGGGCGAACTGAACTCGACGCGCTTCACTCAGGTCGGGGAGTTCGGGATCCCGGACCGCCAGGAGCCGACGCCAGGTATCATATATTATGCCCACCAATTTAAGTAGTAGCTAGCTGTAGCTGTAGCAGGCCAGCGCGACGTTAGTAACTAAACTGCGAAGGTACCACGAGGGCTTCAAATCTTCAAGCAGTACGTCCATACATCAAGGTATACCAGCACCTCGACTTCCTCGCGCAGCGCATGTTCCTCTTTTTCTTCTTCTTTCTGCCTCAACACCGCCTAGGCGGGAATGTATTAAACCGAAACACTACCAGCGCATGTTCCTCGGGATGCAGTTCGACGCGCCGAATATTGTTACCGTCGCTTCTCATGCACTCTTGTCGGGTCTGTAGTTTGCGACCGTCCGCAATGGATTCTCGGTATGAGACGAGGATGGTGAGTGGGGATGATATTGCGAACAGCTTTACTCACAAAGTACAACAGGGAATTGGCACGCGAAGGCAAATTCAATGTGTCGCTGCCAGCACACTCTGATAAATAGCGTCGTCCTCTGTGATGCCTTCAACGCCTTCACGCAGCATGTCAACCGACCACTTCTCCGTGCTCTCGGCCGTCTCCTGAAGCGCTCTCGCCTTGGTCTTCAGCAGTCGCACGCAGTCCAAGCCCATCGGCAAGCGCAGCGGAATGTCTCCAGACAAAACGACGTCGTAGACCGCCCTCGCAAGTTTCGCAGCATCGCCCTTGAATCGCACACCAACGGTGTCGGCCCTCATGGGGTGAGAGGGCAAAGACTTGCTCGTCGCGTATGCGGGGTGCACAGGTAGGACGAGGGTCACGTTTGGGCCGTTCGTGTCGAACTGACCAGGCTCGACGAGACACAGCTTGGGCATTGTCATCGGTAAGTAACCTTGAAGAAGAAGATCTTTCTCTCGAGCATCCTACTCACCTTGATGTTCCAGGCAGGATCCAACTCCCCGGCTATTCCTTCGGTGAGTCCCTCTAGAGCTGCGTCGGACATCAGTGACAGGCTTCCACATGCATGCCAGCGTTGGCTGGATAACTCACCATGCTTACTAGCAGAGAAACCAGGCTCAACATGGTCGCATCGACAGCTCGGCCCCTAAATATACTATACGCACCTGGCAGCATACTGGGAATAAATCGGCACACCAACAAACCCCGCCCCAGACGTAACCTGAAGAACCGTGCCGCCCGCGCCAGCGGGGTTCACCTCGCGGAAGAACCGGATCGCCTGGCGCGTGATGTTGGCCGGCGCCCAGTAGTTCACGTCGACGAGCCTGCGCGCGTCTTCCTCCGGTATTGCCTTGAACTCACCGCAGATGCCGTACCCGGTGTTGTTGACGACCACGTCGATCCGCCCGAACGCCTCTTTTGCCCGGTCGAAGGCGGCGGCGGCCTGCGCGTAGTTGGTCACGTCCAGCTCGACGGGGAGCAGGACGTCGCGGCCGCACGTCGCCGCGAGATCGGCGATGGCGGACGGTTTGCGCATTGTCGCTACGACGATGTCGCCTCTGGACAAGACATGCTCGGTGATTGCACGTCCGATGCCTGAGGAAGCGCCAGTGACTAGTACGTGGTCGCGTCGTAAATCAGCACAGGACAGTCAGAGTGACAGCCGTACTAAAACGCAGCACTCACTGAGCCACACTTTACTGTTCATGCTTGGTTTGGCGGATGTTGCTAAAGACTCCGAGTCTGTGCTGCTCGACCGACTCTGCAGATGCTGGTCTTATATACAATATACGACGTCTTTCTTACATTCAGTTGCTGCCATCGCCGCAGCATCACTCTCCCATGCTAATATGTCTTTGACTCGCAATTTATCGCCCAGTATGTCGGCATGGAGTCCGTCATACCATGTTCAACCCACAGGACGCGGGGAAGGTCGAGTCATCCATCCCTAACTTATAGGGGCAACCCGGCACGGACGGGTTCTCTGTGGGAACTATCCGGCATAAGTTTCGCCGCAGACGTGTAAGTGGCTACAAATTACCGAAGAAGTGTGAGTCTCCTTAATATTCTCCTGTTGACCGAGAGTGCCGGGATTCGTAACTTGGATGAAGCTTCGTCGCTAATAGTAATACAGGACGCGTCAATGTCGTTCAGAGTCACCTGTCGCGATAAAGGTGACTCGCCTATGTTAGACTCGGCTGTAAGATCGCGAACTTCAACTGTCTAAACAATGCGCGAGGGGTGAAATTGTGAGATTGTGAATGAATCCTACCAGTTCAGAAGCAGATGCTACCATGTTTCGGACGGATGTGCTGTGTGCTGGCCCGAGTCCAGCACCAACATAGCACCAAAGGAAAAAGCAGAGCGACGCATCTTGAACCTCGAGCAGTGCATTGACACTATCTCTTGCTCGATACTCTTTCGCACCTTCAACTGAAACCTATCTAAAATGCTAACAATCGAAATCTATGGGAGACTTTATCATACAACTGCTTCAACGTCTGTTGGCGAACAGATGTTTGACAGCGGCTCTATCAACGAGGGCATATCGGTACACAGAAAACCACACCTGTCACAATATTAAATTCCATCCAAACCCTCCAAATTTATTCAAGCCCCAACACCCCTCAAAACCTCCTCAACCGCCGCGCCCTCCTTGCGCTCATTCCACACGCCGACCATCTTCCCGCTCCACCGCGTGCCCTTCCCGCCGCCCTTGACGCCCACGCGCGCCTTGAGCGCCTCGCCGACGGCCTTGACGTGCGCATCTGTGCCCTCGGATCCCGCGATGAGCAGCGTGTTCACGCTTGTGCTCGATATGGCCGAGGGGCTGCTGCTCAAGACGACGACGAAGCGCTTGCCAGCGGATACGGCAGCATCCACGAGGGAGAACGCGATAGAGTTGAGGAAGCCCAGAGCGTTAGACGCGTCGTCCGTCCTGTGCACGTGCTTCGTCACCACCTCTTTCCCTTCTTCGCTTGAAGCTGCGAGCTCATGGGCGATTTGCTTAGCTAGAAGCCGCGCAAGCTCAATCTCCACGTCCTCTGCACGCTTCTCCGCGCGCCTGCGCTCGTCCGTCACCTGCACGACGCGCGCGGGCGCCTGCGGTGCGCCGCACGAGAGCGTGTTCGCGATGCTCGTGATCTGCGCGTGCGACGCGCCGAGGTGCGCGAGCAGACGCGGGCCGGCGAAGAAGTAGAGACGGGCGGTTGACGTGGACGACGCGGCGCGCGCGACGGACTCGGTCTGCGGGAGGAGGAAGAGCTGGAGGTTGTGCAGAGAGGGGAGGTGGGTGCCGCAGCAGCTGTGCAAATCGAGAGAGGAATCGATGTCAGGATAGGATGGTAGGTAAGGAAAAGGCAGTACGCACGGGTTGCGGTCGACGCCGTGGATCACAACCACGCGTTTCACACCGCCGGTGTAGTCTTCAGGGAGCGCTTTTCCGACCGCACGACCTGTCTCGGTGGTCTGTACGCCCGGTAGCTGCGCACGATCCAGTTCCTCGACTTCGACGTGCACGCTGCGGCCTTCGAACACGAGCTTGTTTGCCTCGTTCTGGACGGCAAATATCTCCTCGACTGTGACGGGGCGGGGGAGCTCGACGTAGCAGGGTTGCGGGTAGGTTGTGAGCGACCACGAGAGGGTGGGGAGGTTCAGCTTGGTCTCGAGGACGGCAGAGAGGAGATGCTGCGAGGTGTGCATCGTCATCTAGCGATACTATATAAGCGCCTGAGGAGATTCTAGAGGGAAGTCTGCGTACGTGGTCGTACCGTCGCTCGTATCCGTCGTCTCCGAGCTCGACCTTGACGTGAGAACCAGGCAAGAAACTGTCGATATCCTTTGCCGTGTCCTTGACAGCCACATAATGCACCGCGTGACCACCACTACGCTTGACTTGCAGCACACTCCACGTCTTATCGTCCGCAGTGGTGATATGGCCAACATCCGATGGCTGTCCTCCGCCCTCTGGGAAGAGCACGGTATCGTGGAGGATGACCTCGAGCGTGGGCACTTTGGCGGCTGCATTCGATGAGCCCTTCTTGTTCTTCCCGCTAGGAGGGGGAGCAGACTGGGATACAGTGCAGCTGACGATGTTGGTGGAGAGCTGTCGGAGGAGAGGGTCGCCTAAGACGGTTGTAGTGCCAGCGCGGGGAAGAGCGTGGGCGGGGACGTACGTTGGCAGGCGAGCAGGCCGACGGGGATGGCCTGGGCTGTGCCTGTGGGGAGTGTCAGCGTCGGGGAGACGATGCGATGGTACGTGGGCGGGGTGACGGGTGCGAGGAGGAGAGCAGAGGCGGCCATGGTGGAGATGAGTCAAGGAGTGTGAACATACGGAGATCTAAGCGCTGACATGCCATATCCGGAAGGAGTGTTATCTATTGATGCCGGTGTAACGGACCCAAATGCCAGGTCCCCGCGTTCGACCCAATCGACATGCCTTGAACAGCCCCGCTCAACCCATTTTCTCATTCCTCACCTACTTAATACTCAACATCCTCTAGATACCCATAAGCTCTTTGAGCTCCCACTACCATGTCCCAGCACTCGAGAAGGACGTCCTTCTCCATCCAGGCCAACGCGCCACTTACACCCGTCGTCCCCCTCGGCCCAGAATCAGAGGAATGGATTGACGAGTGGTCCAAGGTGAACGCCAAAGGTCAGTCTCATCACCCCTCTCTATCTCTGCTTTCCTTCATTCCACGGCCGTTCAGACCTCATTGATTCGCGCATCGTCGATGTCAACGCGGATACCAGTGTCGAGGACGCCTGCGACGTGAGCTCCACCGCCGTGACTTTCTCTCTCGTACATGCTGATAGTCTGACTCTGAACGCTATTGTAGCGGCTTCTGTCCGAAAAGATCCCGTGTCTCGCCGTCAAGTCACTCCCAGACGGTTCCTCTGATTCGCCGTACCTCGGCCTGTTCGATGTTCGTACCACCTCCATCGCGGCCATGTCGCCTTGGCTTAACCCTGCGTCCACAGTTCTCAGACGTCAACGCATTTCTTGTATTTGCCGCCACAAGGCATACGATGGCCCCAGAAGACCTCAAGTCGACGCCCCGAGTCGACCAAATCGTGTCTGCGGCCCGAGACGGCCACGTGCCGGTGCACCTTGTCAGCAGTGAGTGCAGTCGCAGCGTATCATGTCTCCACTTGCAATGACGGTGCTGAATTATGGCTAGACATGTCCGAGAAAAACTACCTCGAGACACTCCCCCACGACGCGAACCTCATCTCCCTTCTCGGCGTCTTTGCGCGCGGTGCACACCGCGGTACGTCTCCACACGGTCTCAATCACACCAGCCTGATTTAACGTTCATTTATCCAACCAGTCCTCATCCAATCTCCCGACCCATCCTCCTTCCTCGGCATCGTCTCCGACCGCACCCTCCTCGCCTGGTTCTCGTCCTTTGCAGAGCGCTCGCCCTCGTTCACCGCCTACCTCACCAACTCGCTGCACGCGCTCTCGCTCCCCACGCTGCACATGTACACGTCCGTCGTCGCGACGTCGTCTACGGCGTCTGTGCTCGACGCGATGCGCCTCATGAGCGAGCAGGGCGTGAGCTCGGTCGCGGTACTCGATGAGGAGCACGGGACGCTGTTGAGTGCTGTTAGTGTGACGGATATTGGTAAGGTGAGTGTTGAGCTTGGGGACTATTTGAGGGAGAGGACAAGGCTGATGGGTTTTTTTAGATTGTGGTGCCTTCTGAGAGTAATCAGATTCTGTCGACGTCTTTACAGCAGTTTATCACGCATATTAAGGTCGGGACATCTGACCAATCGCGATACTGACACTGCTGACACGTCGAGCAGGAGCCGTTTGGTTCCAAAGATGGCGCAGAAGTGTATCCAGGTTAGTTAAACGACCTGTTACCACGCCATTTGTTGACCAAGAATCTCCTTAGTATACGTCGTGTTCCCAACGAGTAACCTCTCGTATACCATCCAGAAGATACTTGCCAGTATGTTGCGGTTTGTTGCCAAACCCAACTGCATAACTGATAACGATGTTGCATCGCAAGCCAACTCACACCGTCTTTTCGTCACCGACGAAGTCTCCTCGCCCAACGCCATCGGCACCCCGGGCTGCAGCCTCTGCGGGATCGTTTCCATCGTTGATGGTGTGCCCTGCCATATTACTCCATCTAACTATGATGTTATCTAACTCATGAAACACAGTTCTATCCCTCTTCGCACGCATCGCCCACCTCGACGTCGACCCCACCCGGCGCCAGCGCCACCGGCGCGCCTCCTCGTCCTCGTCGTCCTCGCACTCGAGCCTCAGCGGCAGCGGTAGCCTGAGCGGGAGCGGCGTCCTCGCGTCGCCGTCGTCGCGCCACGCCCATGTACACCCTCACCCGCACCCGCACGGACATGGGTACTCGGGGGCAGGGGCAGGGGAGTTTGGACCGCGGTCGCGCTCGGGGAGCCGGACGAGTGTGGGCAGGATGGGGAGTGTGAGTCCACGGGTGGTCGCTGTCGATGCTGTTGCCGGGACTGGGACTGGGACTGGTGTTCCGGTGCCGGTGCAGGGGCAGGTGCCGGTGCCTGGGAGCGGGGGGCACAGGGCGTCGTTGTCGGGGTCGGGGCCTGGTGGGGATGGGTTTGTGTTGTCGGGGTCGTGGAGCTCGAGGAAGGAGGGTTAGGCTAGGAGTTCTGGCCGCGGAGATGCAGGTTATTTTTGGGTTTGAGTTTGGGTTTGTGGTCTTGGGTTTTGTTACGGGCGGGAACAGGGGGGTTCTTGTGTGCTTTTGGTTTTGCGTTGCTCTGTTAAAGCTTTCTTCGTCTTCGTCTTTCTTTTATGTTGTTCTTTTCTCTTTACCAATCGTGTTACGGTGGACGCGCTCACAATCAGATGGTACAATGTCATGCGAAAGTTTTAGTCTGATTGCAGATTGTATTTTAGATCTATCATATCGAATGCTTTGTCACTCGTATAAGCTAGTTGAAATTTCTTGTATTTCTCTTTGTTCCCTATGTCCGTTGTCTTGAGCTTGCCAGTGGCGCGTTTCCTTGTTGAGCACTTTTAGACTAGTTTGGGCGCTCGCTCGGCATCAAAACGTTCGTGTGCTGTTTTCGCACGGCTGCTTCGATGCGCTGACCCGGACCCGCCCAGACACAAGGTCTCTTGCTCGACGCTGACCCCAGATGCAACCATATCTCGGAGATACAGCGGGATTGAGCTAACATACAGCTACATTTCTCTCGAAATTCGACAGACGAGAGCACCAGTGAACGGAATGCAAGGTTTGCTGAATATTGACCAGATTTGACGTCGATTGACGGCATCACCCTGTGCGACACAGCACGCGCCGCTGAGGTCGGGAGAACATAAAGTGCCAGATGTCAGACCATCACTGGCGCCCATACAGCCTGTGTCGCCGCCGCCGTGGGTTCCTGAACCTGTCCCTTCTTTTTATTTTTACTTCTCTCTCTCTCTCTCTTTGTCACTCCAACTTGCGCTTGTGTGCGCACTCACTCTCCCTTCCCCGCACCGCCCATCCACACGTCGACCCAACGATCGCCTTTCCTTTCCTCCTCACTAATATCGTTAGCACCACCACCACCATCAAATCTCACAAGCATGGTCGCCTCCGCACGGCGACCCGCGGACCTGGAGGTGGACGTCGCCGCGACGACGTCGCTTCTGGGCGCCGGCCAGCGCGACTCGAGCAGCCTGCACACGCCGACGCGCGACGAGTCCAGTGTGCCGTACTCGCCGCGCGACCTCCCGCTCCCGCACTCGCCCTACCTGGACTCGCCGCGCCGCCCGTTCGCATCCGCGTCAAGGCCGATATCGGCGGCGACGTCCGCGTCGCAGGATAGTTGTGGGAGCCAGGCTGGATGGGTGAGTGCTCGTTCGCGAGTTGTGGGATGCGGCGGTGGGCGCTGCTGCTGTGTGCCTTCGTCGACTAACAAAACATGTGCGCTTGCAGGCTGACACACCGCGCTTTCGGGGGAGCGCAGCCGTGCTCGAGCGATACGGCTCTCCAAGTCCTCTCGCGGAGAAGGTGCGTGGCGGTCTCTACGTACATAAAATCGGTGCGTCTGGGCCCGACGTGAGCTGACTTCCGTTATTTCTCGGCACACGGCGATCTCTGCCCATGTTCCGCGCGGCTTCTGCAGTTCTCGCTTCGCGACGACCCTGACGCATGGGGGTCACCCGTCACGGGCGACTTTGCTGAGCCCGACGACGATTTACATAACTACGATCCGAAGCGGGACGGCAGGACGAGTGTGCTCACCTGCAGAGGTTTCGTCAACCTGGGCTTTCTGTTTCTGCTAGCGTGTCTTCTGATCGGGCTTTTGTGAGTTCTGAATGAACCCCGGATCTTCATCGTCTCTTTCTCTCGGTTTCCTGACGTCTGGTCTGTGTCTGCGATACGCGTAGCGCCGGATACCCGCTAGCTCAGTACTTTAGCGAGCACAAGCTCTCGAATCAGGGAGGATTCAACGCGGGCGGGATCAACGCGAGCGGCCAGGTGAGTCTCGCCGGGCTTATACACCCGATGGCGCCTAACGGGGCTGGGCGCCGATGATAGATCCCCCTGATCCCCAACAACTTCGGCCTCGTCGACCCGGATACGCCTGCTGAAGCGCAGACCATCAAGTCGTTCGCGGACGGGAGCGAGTGGACGCTCGTGTTCAGCGACGAGTTCGAGCAGGACGGGCGCACGTTCTGGCCCGGCGACGATCCGTACTGGGAGGCGGTCGATTTGCATAACTGGCAGGTGCGGGGCAGCTTCGACGTGTAGGCCCAAAGCTGACTAGTGAGCTCTGACGACTGGCGGCGATGCATTCACACAGACGGGCGACATGGAGTGGTATTCCCCGCAGGCGGTCACGACGCGCAACGGATCGCTGGAGATCACGGTGAGCGAGAAGGAGATCAACAATCTCGATTATTTGAGTGGGTCGCTGTCGACGTGGAACAAGTTCTGCTTCACGGGCGGGCTTATCCTGGTGTCTGTCAGTTTGCCGGGGTCGAGCTCTGTCAGCGGTGAGTGCCGTTGCCCTGCATTTCTGGTGCGCCTACTGAAACAATTCGTTATGTAGGTCTCTGGCCGGCTGTATGGACGATGGGTAACTTGGGTAAGACATCCATGCTTCCAGCTAACCACGAACATCAACTAATAGGTGGTAGGACGCGTTGGGTACGGCGCATCACTCGACGGCATGGTAAGCCCTCGCCCTCCATCCGATTCACCGCCTTCTCAACGAAGTGACAGTGGCCATACGTCTACGACTCGTGCGACGTCGGCACCGTCGTCAACCAGACCCACAACGGCGTCCCCAAGGCCGCGCTCACGGGCGGCTCCGACGGCGGCACGTTGTCGTTTCTGCCGGGCCAGCGGCTGTCGCGCTGCACGTGTCCGGGGGAGAGCCATCCGGGACCGAAACACAGCGACGGCACATATGTGGGGCGCTCGGCGCCCGAGATCGATATCTTTGAAGCGCAGGTGAGCTCCGGATACGTGTCCGCGGGCGGGCTTATGGCTTATGGTTTGCTGCTACTAGGTCACCGGTGGTCCCGACTCTGGTGGACTTTCTCAGTCGGCGCAGTTTGCGGTGGGTCACTGTACGACATGGCAAAGTCCTTCTGCTTCTGCTGATGAATACTATTTGCATCGCCGTAGCCGTTCAACTACAACTATACATGGCTGCAGACAGGGAACTCGAAGATCCCCGACCCGGACGTCACGATGTTCAACCCTTACAAGGGCGGAATCTATCAGCAAGCGACGTCTGCGGTTACGCGTTCTAGTGCGAGGTTTTTGCTGTCTGGGACCTGCGTTCGATGCCTAACCATCTCTGTTAGATCCGGACTGTTTCGACCAGAACACGGGCTGCTTCGCTACGTATGGGTACGAATACCAACCTGGTACGTGTTGGCATTTGACACTGCGTTTTTGGCCCCGCTCACGATAAGTTTATCAGGGTATAAGAACGAGAGCGGGGTACGTTCTTGCGACCTCTGACCGTGGTCGTGTAGCTTATCCTCAGTCCAATAGTACATCAGCTGGATAGCCAACGACAAGGTTTCGTGGACACTCGAGGCGGGTGGCGTGGCCGCTGATCCCAAGGTAGGGATCAACGACAGGCCGATTACGAGCGAGCCCATGGTGAGTGGTTGTGTATAGGCCCGAGGACGACTTCTCACCGCACGTGCGCAGTATATCATCGCCAATGTGGCCATCTCCAACGGCTTCTCGTACGTCGACACCGCCAACTTGGTGTTCCCCACGAAGATGCGCGTCGACTGGGTGCGGGTGTACCAGCCCAAGGACGCGGTCAACGTCGGGTGCGATCCCGTGGACTATCCAACGTCGGCGTATATCCAGCAGTGAGTCTCGGTCTCGGCGCTTCGCGCTTTTGATCGTATCGACGCGTATATTGATTGTGTCCGTAGGTTTTCGGAGGCGTACAACAACCCAAACCTGACGACGTGGACGTTGGACCGTTCTGCTGGAGGCTTCGATCAGGCAATGCCGAAAAACTCGTTCCTCGGTCAATGTTAAGAGGCTTTTGCTGCACCCGCCAGCTTCCCTTTTTCGCTTTATTTAGGTACAGTTCGCCGAAGCATACGACATCCCGAACCTCACCGGCACCGCGTGGGCCGACCAACGACTTATGGGTCAAAAGATGCCAAAAGAACTCTTTTCCTTCCTTCGGACAGTGCTAGGTCTGTAGAATAATCATTTGGGCTTCTCTCTTTTTTATTATGTTGCGATACCATTCTTTTGGACTCGGATCGGACTCGGACTCGTTCGCCATCGGTTTTGAGCGCTTTGCTCTCAGCTGTGATGCAGAGGGATGTAGGTGTTTTTGGGGACTGGTAATGGTAACTTATGATACGCGGCTGTAACTAATTATTTGGCTTCGTTCTAGCTCTCAGCTTGTTGGTAGGCGAGGTCGGGTGCAATAGGCACTAATATTCGAAAGAGGCTATAGGCTATACAACTCTGGCCTTCGTTGGAAGCCAGGTTAGACAAAAACAAACGTGTTTCGTGTCAACTTCAGTGCATTTGCCTGTTAATACTCCAGGAGGTCAGCCGCGATCAGCTATCGCTATGCGAGAGTCCTTCGTAAGGTCAAGGAAATGGCATTACAAGCTACGATAACAGCGCAGGAACTCGTCCATTTGAAGTTGCTTCGACAAGGAAGCCACATTTCCAAAAAGTATGCACTCCGGTTAACGGCCGGAGGCTCGAGCCAGCAGGAATCCCCCGGGATATTCTCCTCGTATGCATGCAACGCACGCCGCACGGAGCATGCAATCATCTTTCGCGTAAGATGGCTCCTCAGACGAGAACATCTGAAAGTTTCAGGTCTCGTCTGGGTTCAGACAAGGGCAATCGCGCGGCAGGCGCACCCTTGCTGGCGCTGTCCAGGAAAGCGCTGTGCGAGAAAGAGAAAAGAGCCCGGGAGAAGCGAGGATCACGCATCACCCACCGAGCTGAAGGAGGATAAGGAAGAGGACGGACGAGCAAAGAAGACCGCTTTTATAGTCGTTCTCAGGCTCTGGCCTTCCCACGAAATCTAAAGTTGGATCTGCCAACGTGATAAGCAGTACTGCTGGTGTGCGTTAAATGGGGCTCGAGATCAAAAGTTGACTATTGGATCTATTATGTGAACTATAGTATTTGACAGGATTGTAATTGTTCTCTGAATCAGTCTTGTTTCTGTTGGTCAACTAGATTTACAGTCTTACTTACCAAGGGTGCCCAAAGCTGCCAATTACAAAAGGAGGGGCTGTGCCAAGGCGCGCCCTGCCCCTGTCAATGATCGATGAGGAAAGGGAGTACGAAACAATACAACACGACGAATGAAATTGAACAGAAAAACATAAGCTGAAGTTCGAGTTAATCAGAAGAGACGAAAAATAGCTGTGTTTTAGAATATGTACGATACACCTTACGCCTCGTAGCGGCGTACCACCACCGGCAGTTGCGCGCCTTTCTCGGGCTGCGATGCAACAGTCGGCCGGCGCACCATCGTCTGCTTGGGAACAATATCCTCGGAGGGAACAGCTAGCTCGAACGTAAACGAACGGAGTAGAGAGAAGAGCAAGGCCTTCATCCTGCACATGCAATGATACGATCAATTATCCATATTTGCCGAAAGGATAACAAGATAATGCTTACTCAAGAAGTGAAAACCTGAAGCCAATGCACGCATGTGGCCCACCCATGAACGTCATCTGGTTTCCCCACACACCAGGGATCCCATGGGCGCCCTCAGGCGTGTTGCCTTCGAGCCACCGTTCGGGGTCGAACGCCTCCGCATCTTCGCCCCAGATCGTGGCTGAGTGATTCGTGGACATGATCGGGATCGCGACCGTGTCTCCTCTTGCCACTCTGTTCACGTTACCGTGCTCAGTGTCGCGTTCGAAGGGAGGAGGGGGTAAAGGAAACGCACTTGATACTTTCATGTCTCACCCCGTTGACATCCACGAACGGCGTTCCGAGCGGAATGACGTCGTCCTTCGTCACGCTACGATATGTGAGCGGCACGGGCGCGTGCACGCGCAGGGCCTCGCGGACGACAGCTTCAAGGTAAGGCAGGGCATTAAGCTCGTCCATTGTCGGGGTGTCGGTTGACAATGTGAGGCACTCGTCGCGAAGCTTGGACTGCACGGCGGGGTGCTGCGTAAGGGAGAAGAGAGCCCATGTTGTTGCGGTGCTGGTGGTTTCGTGACCTGCGACCAGGAACGTCGGGATTTCTGTGACATCACGTTAACACGGTGATACATTCTGGTTCAAAGGTAGTACACACGTCCACTGAGCTCATCATCCGTCAGATGCCGCCCGCCGTCTTGTGACATATTCGCCTTCACCAGCAGACTCAGCAGGTCTCTGGCTTTGACCTTCTCCCCACCCTTGTCGTTCTCGCTGCTGAACTGTGACTTGCTCTCCGCGAGCAGCTGGTTCCCGACGTGCGCCATAGTCTTGCGCGCTTCCATCACCTTCAATCTGCGATTATCAGGCTATCGATACCCGCTGACATTAGCAGCCACGCGCGTACATGTTTTGACGGCTCCACTCACGAACACAGCATCTAGAATAGGGAACATTCCACGAACAAACGTGTTCACGGATCCGAACGATCCCAGCGAGGCAGCGAACACAGCGCTGAATGCAGCGTTGAGCTCATTCGGCTTTCCCTCGGGGTTCAGCGAGTTGAACCGATAATGGAACCCCGCAAGGCCGATGATGTCGAGGGCTGCTTTACTGAGCCAACTCAGCGCGTTGAGCGTCACAGGTTTGCCGCCTGCGGGCACTTCACGAAACCAAAGATCGCGCATCTTAGAAGAGCCGACAATGCATCAGCAGCCGCAACGTATCGCAAGGGTACGCCGTAGCTCACCAGGTTGACCTTGTCAAAGATGATGGGAGTAAGTTCGCGTAGTTGGAGGGGACCAAACGCAGGGTTCTGTTGGAGGCCATGTCAATGTCATGCGGGAAGGGAATGGGTACACGTAAGCTCACCATAATCCGCCGCTGATTCTTATGCTGTTCTCCCCTGACGCGCAAGAGACCTGTCTCTATACATCAGCACTCATGTTGACGTTCTCATATGGTATACTCACCTTGTCCGTGAACGATACCCTCTCTACGAGACTTCGGCTTCTGGTAGTTTTCGCCATGCTGAAGCACGTAGCTCAGAGCGCGAGTGTCGGTCGTGAAAAGGTGGCGTGTCTGTTTAGATGATGTCGGTCAGCTTGAACACGTTGGCGACAGAGACATGCATAAACAGAGCGTACGTTGAGTGCGCCGAAGAGCGTGAACGTTGACCCACTAGAGAGATCCGTCAGCTTCGTGAGTGAGGAGTGACTGAGAACAAATTCTCTCACAATTTAGCTATCCACTTCCTCTGTATTGATTGAGTATCCTGCTTCACATTCAGTACTAACCCCCCAAAGCGAAGATTGGGCCGACGACGTACTTTGCTAAGCACTTCAGGATTACCCATTATCCAATGTGTCGCCTTAGGTCCAGGAATGTGACGCAAAGGCGACGTGAGTTTGCGGCATTGGAAACGAAGGAACTTGAGGGCATAGTAAACGAAGACAGAGGTGACAGCGGTCAGCGCGATACGGATAACTTGAGATTGAACCATTCTCCCGACTCAGGGTCAGTGAGAATTATGAGGACAAGGTGTAGAATTTGGTCCATGACGAGCGTTAAATGTCCTTATATGCATCACGGCGAGGAGCAGTGTAGTGGCAGAGTAACAGCGAGGTGAAGTAGCGGGGACTGCTAAGTGACGAATACAGAATCGGCACCACGTGATCCGTCGGTGGTTCTTCACGGTCCTCCACTGTTTTAAACCTTTCCGCAAACCTTTCCGAGTTCTTTTTCTCAGCGCTCATGGACTCGATCGTCATTCTCGCTGACACTTCCTCACCATATTTACCCACCAGCGACTCATGATATCACGACGCTCGGTACAAAACACTGTCTCAACAGCAAGTCAACGACGACGAACCCGGTGAATAGAGCCGACCAACGTGGACCAGTACTTGCTCGTGAGACTACGCGTTGCACGGTGCAGTAACCCAGATGACCGATATGTCCCTACCATTGAACTTCCATACTGTGGGCGGGCCTACAGCCGAAAGACTCGGTTCTGCCTATTTCAAGTGGTTCGCAAACTCACAGCGACGCAAGCAAGGCGGGATGTCAATAATAGGGGCTAATGCTCAAAAATGTTGATCATGTCTCACGCGCACGGTCCACAGTCGGAGCCGGGTAAGTCGGAGGAGAATCTTTGTCGAGGCTATGGCTTTAGCGACGGCATGCTATTGGAATAGCTCGCCCCAATGATGCATCCCAGCAAACTTTTTTGCACACCCCTACATTCAACCTTTTCCCAAACCACATTTGACGCGTCGAGACTGCGCCTATGAAGCTCGCCAATCTGCCGTTCGACGTCTTGATCCAGGCCTTCGGGTGCGTTGGGCCCTTGGACGTTCTCGCGCTGAGACAGGTACGCCCTTGAAGCTCTAGGTTTCCTGGCCGAAATGACAGGAGCTGAAAAGGAGATTGATAGACGTGTAAGGCGTTCTTCGGGGTTAATCGTATCTACAAGCAGATGGTCGGCTTTTGTTTGCCGTTGTTTGGGTTGTAGACTCCTATGTTCTTCACAGCGCCGCTCCGAAAGACTGAATGCAGGACTAGGCAAACGCCCCAAATCACACTTCTGAACCCTTTTAAAAACAGATATTAAATGTAGACCGCGTCACCTAATGCCCACGAGACGACGCGATCGACCGATTTGTTGAAGCATAATTGTTCAAGTGCGAATTGTATTGAATAGTGGCATACACTGACCAATCGGAACATGCCTTGGTGCCCCCTCTGTCGATGCATTCTCAAGATCCAGAGCCCTACACCTACTAATGCCCAAATGTATTCAGACAATAACACTTAAATACAGGGCTCCGTCTATCATTAAGCAGCACGCTGTCTCTCCAGCTATTAGCCAACATGAGTAGCACCGCGTTTGTCGTCGGAATGTCCAGCCTGATCGACGGTGTGTACCCCAGTGGCTGGCTCATCTGGCTCTATGCCGAGTTGTGCGTGTCGGACCACATCCATCAGGACGAACGGAGCCGCGCTCAGAACCTGGCCCGTGTTTGTGTAAACTCTCAGAACATTGCTGTGTCCACTGATTTCAGAGTCGTGTGTAGGCCTTTCTTTCTCCTCGCGTTAATCGGAGTTTGAGGACTTGAGTCCAGCGCGGTCTTCCGCCCCGACCCGGAAACTCCCTCTCTCACGATCTTCCGAGTCTTATTTGGTATATCTGGTGCGAGGGCTTGCCAGTGTGACTCTTCGCGTACTAATTGGTGGCCAGAGCGAGTCTGAGGAGCGATTCATGCCTGTATATGGCCCCTTATGGAGTTTCTCGGAACACGCCTGCGGTTGCGATCTTACCTCATATAGTCCTGTGTTCGCGGCCGTCGGGCGTACTACGATGGATGTCAGACTACATAGTTTGCCTCAAAAACGGTGGACTCTTTCAGGCGAAGTTCCTGAAGGCCTTTCGGAATAAATTACGCTTCACCGGGTTACAGAAAATTTGCTTACTCTGCGCTGTATCTGCACGGAACGTCCGATTCTACTTTAATCGTGCTGCTCATCCGTCCTGTATAATAGCCTACTTCGAATCAAGTTCCGATTATTTTTGCTAAACCTTAACTATCGCTTTGAGCTCAACGCCAAGCAACTACTTGGATGCTGGAGCGCAGCGACGGCGTGTCTTGTATCTTATGAACGAGACGTATGGGCGCACGTGTATGCCTCCTCTCGACTCCCTCGCGTCCCAGGTCCTCTTTCGTCTCAGTCGCGCCAAACACTAGAGGCCAACGTTACCCGGAGTGCCGTCTTTGACAGGCGTATGGTTTGCGGAATGGGTGCCAAGGCAATGCGGAAGCTGAAGTTCAAGCTTTACAAAACAAGCGACTTTCAGTTGCTCGCAGGACGGTGGCTATTGGTGCGTTCCAAGAGAAGGGTCTTCTGTTGCGACTCGCAAGACGCAGAGCGTGAAGACTCAAGAGTTATCTACAACGCTGCTTCCGGATACAAGATATCATCCCTTACCACGGCTGAGACTGTGGACTATGATGGCCGATATCATGGCTTCATTTCGCTGATACAGGATCGGGATGGTCCCTACGAGGCACTTCTGTGAGTCATTTGTTAGGCGTACTCAGCGATTTTTGCTCAGCAACCAACTATACTTATCCACTAACCAACTTAGGTCCGTGTTTGAGGTACATGAGACCTCACAAGGCATCACACTCTCAGAGATATATCACCATTCGTACACCCATACGTACTCGCCGCTAGTCCAAATGACGATAGGACCCTCCAGTTTACTGGTGTCATGGCATAATCGTCATGCGGACAGCAGCTTTGTTGTCCTTAGCTTCAACCAGTCGAACTCATCGATACAGACCCCTCCAGACCTCGGCCAGGTACGTCACAGTATCGTTGAGCCATCGGCGATTGCTCAGTCAAGTATCAGTTGAACATAGACCACTGCGACGTTCTCTTGGGTTTACCAACACGTTTTGTTCTTTCCTCGACACATCTCATCATCACACGTATTGTTTCTGAACCGTACGGAGATGCGAACATGCGTACGTGGATAGGCGCCATTCCGCTATGCTCTGCCCTTCGTGGCGAGCACTCGATGTGTTTCTCCGGTTTCGCAGACCACATTCTGTCGCAAGTGGTGCTACTCCAGGACACTGTATCTACCTCCAGCGGTCTAAAGGATATACGTCTCGTCGGCCTATGTTCTGACAAGGCCTCCGAGGCTCTTGCCGTATTTCGCCTCCTGATTCCTCCCAACGACTTGCCCTCTAAAAACATCATTGTCTCAGTGGACGCCTTGTCCCGCGTCCACAGCCCTCGAGTTATGCTCCAGCCCGCGCTCAATGGAGCATTGCGGATTGCGTGCACTCATCGCGAAAGGATTGAAGGGACTCGCTATCTTTGTCTCAGCATAATCTCTGTCGACGCTCAGGGGCAACCTCAAGATATGCTGAAGACATCACCAACGATGCGGGTCAAAGGTGGTACCCGCGAAGATGTGAGCGTCACTATTTCCCTGGAGTGCATGGATCCGATTGCGGGAAGAGTATGTCTTAAAGAGGACACTTGGAGCAAGGACGGGATAGGGCATCGGGCGATTGTTGTGCTTGACTTTTCTTGAGCTCGCATCGCGCTCTTGTGAGTTTCTCGTAGTCTTCTGTTGTTCTCAGTAATTCAAGGTACTATCATTCAGAAGCCTTCACTGGCAGAGCACCACTCGACGACGTTGGGCACGCCTCTTATTCGCCTCTTTGTTATCACACTAACTGCGCAGAATGCTTTGGCATGTATGCTTTGAGACTACGCAAATACTCAACGAGTACTATTAACAGGAAGCCAGAAACTGTCGGGTGACCACAGAACTACTGGTGTATCCGTAAAGCGGCGTTGGCTTGGGCGACCCTACCCTCATTCTTCTCAATTATGGCTGGAGTCAACCCTTCTTCGACTGCAATATTCTCGGCGGCGGCAGTTGCACCCGACGCGAGGTGCAGTGCTCGTTTGAAATGCCCCAGGCTATAGGCCATCTGTGATGCGTTGCCTAGAGCGATCACAAGTTGCTTGCGTGCCCCGCGTATCTCAGCTGAGTAAACGCCGTGCGTGTACTCATCTAGCGCAACCAACGCCGCGGCGAGCTCGGCGACGCTCATGAAGGTCGAGCACGCGAAGTTTGTTTCGTCCGGGTCACCTTTAGCCCTTGCGCGCGTACGACCTCTGTCCATACGCTCGACTATGCGCATTTGAGAGAGCCTGATGATGCGACGTATGACCTCTGGATGTGTAATTTGCTGGATATGCTGGAGTGAAGTTGACGACGAAAGCCCGTTCGGTAGCTTGCTAAGCGTTTGTATTGGGCTAAGGGTTTTTCGCTGTGCGAGAACAGCGAGCAGGCGGACGAGTGCGGTCGGACCAAGGACGCGTTGAGATGCGATCACAAACGGGGTTTCGGTAGACACGACAGGCTTGCTCGGCTTTGCATTCTCCAGGAGGTAGGATCTGAACACCTCGTACTCGTACTCGAAGGAGCGCATGACTTCTTCGTCGGTGGTGCAATCCTCTAAGTACTTTCCGCCTTTGCAACATCCCAGGTATGCTATGTGCAGCACTGATTCGATCTGAGCATTTGTACCGCACGAAGTTGCCGCATGAGTGATGGTGGCTATCAAGCGAAGGATGGATGCACGACGAATGCCTGCAGATAACAATTGGTCAGATTTATAGGCGATGTATTTTCAAAGAACGAAGGTATGGCACGTACCCCGGTTTCGAAGAAAGTTGGCCATCATCCCCTTCTCCGTGCCTTCGATGGAAAATCGCCTAGCGATGGTCAACTCAATAGTCACTCCTCTACAAGGTCTAAAAACCAACCTTTCCATTGCATCGACGTCTTCTTCTTGTACGTTCATCCACACTTCAATAAGCATCTCAGCCCAGTTTGGGCGTGATGTAAAAATCCCGATAGCCTTGAACACTACATCACATTCACTTTCCTTGAATGCTTCGTTCACCGATAAAGCAACTCCTGGGACAATATGACTTGGCCATTGCAGCAGCAAAACCAGCGTCTTGGAAGCGGTAGACGCTACATTAGATTCAGGAAAGCACGATGGCCGATCCAATATTGCGCAGTTGAGAAGGAGGTCGAGCACTTGGGGTCTCTCCTTCAGAATCTCATAGCAGAACATCGTTGTTTTCGGAGACAGAGAGGTAAAAAGGAGCTCATGGGCGACTTGTACAGCAGTATCTTGTACCACGGCATAGAAGATGGGCGCGGATTCTCTCGTGACTTGCGTCCTTTCGATCATCTGCAAGAGAGATGAGTACGTCTTGGGGCTCGGCATCAGATCTTAACGATGATATTCTAACCTTGTATACCTCCGAGAACATTGTGCTCTGCCACGCAGTGACGGGGTTTAGAAGCTGATTGACGACATGGTCCGGTCCTTGGAGGGTGTACAGACAAACACCCTCAATGATCGCGGCAGCCAAAGAAGAAGGGACCTTTTCCCCCAAATATACTTGGCAAAGCGACCGCAGTGCGCTGATGCTAAGTAGACGCATCACGCACAGTTGATGCTGCATGCACTAGATGATGCATAGCGAGATGAGTCCGACTTGCGATAAACGCCTGGAGATCGAAAAGCGAACGTACTTGCAGACATATATTCAGTACGTCCTGCTTCAACAAATCGTCGAGCATAGTCTGACATTCCGACTCATCTCCAAGCTGCACCAGGATGCAAAGGAGCTGAAGAGCCCTATACTGGGATATGACCCTTGCCCTAGGAACGTTTCTCCCGGGCCATTCTCGTCGAGCTATCTTCATCATTGTAGACACCAAACCGGCGCCCAAGCATGAGCGGATGAAGGTGCCAATGCCTATGCTATTTGGATCTTGTGGATCGTACAGATCCGCTGCGAGCTGCCAGTATATAGCTTCCTATTGAAGTCAAAATGCGGATGAGACATAGCGATAGAGAAGAGATTGGGCTCTGAGGAAAGTACGTACTGTCCATTCTCGGACATATTCAGCGTCCTCGCTGGGGTTGGCTATTCTGGCAAAAGTTTTCCTCAGATTCTGAATTCTCTCTGACTCTGAGCTTCCAAGTTTGAAGAATCCATGGAATGGGAATGTTGTGTCCATTATCCAAAGTCAAAGATGTGTAGATAAGAGGCGCCCAAGATGGTGGACCGGGGCAAAAGGCCGTGGGAAGAAGACCTATAACAGGCCATGGCTTTTGCCTCGCCCCAGCCGAGCTATTAATTCAGTGAACCAACTTTGAGTGGCACTCCATCGTTCACGCTTGCTTTACATCTATCTCAGTCTTAAATGGCGCTCATAAGACTGGATAGACTCCCTCTGGACATTCTCGTTCAGATAGCTGGCCTTCTCGGCCCCTTGGACGTTCTCTCACTGAGACTGGTACGCCGTCCCGTCGTTCTCTGATGCCAGATCAACTTTGATGCCTTATGTGGTATCACATCAGACATCAAGGGCACTCTTCACTGCATCTAATGAAAGGTATGTTTGGGCTCAAGTTTACTCCTCAAGTCATCTCCCTCGTCACCCGGGTCCGGTTCCATCACAGTCTCGTCAGGATCTAGAAGATGCCGTCACTCGGAGCGCGATAGTCGAGCATCGGATGATTAGCCAAATGGACCCCAAGAAAGTGCGGAAAATAGCGCTTGATATCGATGAACAAGGCAAAGCTCGATTGCTTGCTGGACGGTGGCTAGTGTCGAAGTCATACAACAAAGTGCTCTGCCGTGACTTGGACTCAGCTCAAGGCGGTGAAAGCCAGGTGGTCTACGAAGTCTTTCAACCCTGGAACTTGAAATTTGTGACCACCGCTGAGATTGTGGACTGCGAGGGTCGATATCATGGGTGTATCGCATTGTCCGAGAGAAAGTACAGACCCCTGAAAGATCAAGTGTAAGTTACTAATCACATTCTATGGCGGCCCGAACTTGGCTCATCCATTCCCCCACATAGAACCATCCTCAAGGTTAAACCAACCGGTCAAACCATCGAGCTCATAAAGATATCTTGCTTTGATATTCCTGGGATCAGCTTCACCCTTGACTACACTGGCACAGAGGTTGAGCTGACCATCGGTCCCAGTGCCCTGGTGGTCTGGTGGGAGCAGGTTGTGTCGGACCCTGGAGAAGAAAACAATCATCTCAGGAGATACGCTGTTATAGACTTCTCTAACGTGTGGCAAATACCGGTTGTCCGAACTACTCTTGATTATACAGAGGTTCGTCGTATTCACGCTACACGTTATGGCAGTATTTTCCGCGTCTCGCTAACTGGAGCACACTGTCAGCCGGACTTAGAACCATTCTCCGTCCTGATGTACATGGCAACACACTTCGCCGTTTCCTCGACTCATCTAATCGTGATGACGGTATATTGGCCGCGACAAGACTCGGACGACGGGACACGTACTTTGATATACCTCATCCCGCTTGCATCTGCGCTTTCTGGAGAGTGCAAGCCACGCCTACTTGGCTGGTCAGAAGCCGCAGTGACTTTACCTGTACTACTTCGTGACTCTACTCTCACAGCCGACGGAAACACCAGTATCGCTCTTGCGGGGCTTTGCCACGACCCTTACTCTGTCAGAAAAACCTATGTATTCACAATGCGCTTATCCATTCCACCCGCGGAAGAGCAGCACTTTACGCCCCCTTGGTTTGAGGTCCAAACGAACATTGGGCCAAGCGTTAGCTGCTTGAGCATGTTAGCTCATCCCGTACTCAACGGTTCGCTCCGGATTCTCTTCTCTTACCTCGAGGCAGAAGAAGGCCACCGTCACCTCTGCCTCGGGGCGATGTCGATCGATCCTAAGGAGCCAGATTACGACATTATGTGGCAGAAATCACCGACCATGCGAATAGGGGGCGACACAGACGCTGTGCGCGGGAAGAACGTCGTGGAAGATGTGAATCTCTTGAGAGGAAGAGTTTGTCTTTATGAAGAGGCTGAATACGAAGAGGGGGAGGTGAGGCGAGAGCGGATTATCCTTGACTTTTCCTGAGGAGAAGGAGAAGAGTAGTCATAAGTATTGTATACTAATGTATGCGAAAGATTGCAAGTAACCCTCTTCATCACTCTCGCATTTGCTTTATCCGCCTGAGGTCCGTGTCAACACGAGTGGCGGCAAGTTGGAGCTCACGCAAAGCCATCGTTATCTATTCGTATCATTTTCGTGTGCGACGCTTTAGCTTAGAGGACACTCAATCAAATAGAGCAAAGAATTTGTTATGATTCTTGTACGATTATATCTGGTTTTACAACACCCAAGCAAAACCCCACATAAAACCCAAATAATATTAACTCCATCGTTCTCCCCAAACCCATTTCATCCCTTTTCAAGGCGTATCCTACGCCTCGTCAAGAGAGAGAACGAGGTCATCCGGTCCTCGAGTCGCTTATGAAGGAGGGCAGAAGGTGACGGTGTAGTCGCCACCGGTCGCGCAGGTCCAGAGGGCGGTGCCGGACGACTCGTCGTAGGCGTAGGCGTACGCGTCGGGGCAGTTGTCCTTGAAGTACGAGTAGTACGCGACACCGCTGGGAGGGCACGTCGCAGCGGTGTTGTGGCTGCCGGAGCAGCAGTTGGCGGAGTCGGCCTGGTTGCCGTCGAGGTTGGCGTAGCAGGCGGACTTGCAACCAAGGGGGAAGCCGGTAGTGTCGTAGGGGCCCTGGAGTGCCGCGGGGCCTGGAGAAAAACGGGGTTAGCATTCGTGGACGTCGGTAAATGCGTTATGTCTTACAGTTAGGGCCGAGGTCGACGGGGCACGAGGCGACGTGGCATCCAGTCGAGCTGGTGATCTCGATGGGCAGGTTGGCACCATCGACGAGCGAGACGTCGTAGTAGTCTTCACCGTTCGCGTCGAGGGTGAACTCGGCGAGCGAGGCAGGAGGGACACCCTATGAAAGCCATCATGAGTAAGGGGTTCACGTGCCTGCTGCAGGACTTCAGTACTCACAGGGTTGGTGCACAGGAGACCACCATTGCAGCCACCGGACAGGCAAGAGTTGGGGCCGGGGTTGCTGCTGAAGTCGCAGTCACGGCGACCCCAGATACGACCGGCAGTCCAGTTGTCGGGGACAGCGAAGGTGACGGCGGTGTACGCGGCAGCCTCCCAGCCGGTGGCCTGGCTGGGCGCGGCACCAGAACCAGTGAAGAGCTGCAAAGTCAAAAGTAAGTAACTGTGTTATATCGGATACGGGAAATATGCATACACCAGGCCAGATGGTGAAGGGGCAGCCGTTGTAAACGGTGATTTGCTTGGCGAACGCGCCAGTGGCGAACGCGAGGAGAGCAGCAGAGGTAGCGGACTTCATTGTTGGTTGAAGATAAGAGTAACTGCGAGAAGAGCAGATGAGAGACGAGGGAAGTGGATTTCCTGATACTTGGAGGCTGCTCACAAGGCCTATTTGTACTCCTTCAGCATGCCAGTGGCCGGATCCTCCGCCGGTTGGCACCGCGAGGAGCGTGCAAAGGCATCTCACTATAGCGCGTCAACCCCAAAGGCACGCCCGTGTTGTATGTCACTTAGCGATGATGGCCATGTTCAGGCACGCAATCTTCCAAAGGCGTACCTTTGCTTGGCTTCAGACTGCCCCAGGCAGGCTGTGTCCGGGGCTGGCTGGTCCCATCAGGGTTCGTCTTCAAGGGAGTAACCTTCCGAGAAGCTTAAAACCGAGCCCGCCAAGCTTTCCAGAGGATTGACACAAAGTGTCGACCTACGCATTAAAATAGTCACCGACGCGCTCAGAAATAGCTCTGCTCCACCTTGCTCCACCGCGTTTTTGCTCGCGTTAGCCTTCTCGACAAACTGGTCCCGTCGACAAGCTGATTGACCAACATCGCAATGTTCTTGCATGCCCGCGTGCGCGACTGTTCGATGAAGGCACCGCCAGCGAAGGAAACAGGTCGTTGGGCTTGGCGAAACATCGCCCGCGTCGCATGCGCACAGATACGCACCGCTGGCAAGCACGGCCGCACACGGTCACAATGGTGGTGGACGACGTGGCTTGCTGGCAACAAGGAACAACTGTCGGCGCGGTACTGTTGTCCGAGGTCTACTCCGATTGGCCCATCAGAGCAAGCGCTGCCACGACACCGCCATCAACGGAGCCTTTTTTCTTTAGCGCCCGGCGGTTCACCCTCAGTTGCCTGCTTCTCGGCGTTGAAATCAGTTTCGCCAAGGTATTTCAAGGAAGCAAGTACTGACATGGACATCCGAAGAAACTTAGTAGTCTTTGGTATTGAATCCTCCGGGAAAAACATTGAACATGACCCACTTGTAGATCATGGATTCGGATTGTCAGCTGGGTAGATCCGTCTTCGACGTACACGATGGAGTCAACCAGCCGTCCGTATGTCATAATCATTCGGAATTCCTGGATCATGGGGTATTTGATGGACTCAACTGCAGCTGAGCGCGACATGGAGACGTACCTGGAAGCGCTGGAAGGTACGTCTGAACGTCAACCTCTCAGATACTGCAGTGAGTAGTGCTATGGCTTCAATTTAGTAGGGAGATCTCATGATAGTGGCCAGCTCAATGCTGATGAACTACCGTGCATGATGGTGCAGGCAGGTGCAGGCCCAGGCAGGTCGCAGAAAGCCATGGAAGGCCCGTGACGAAGATCATCAGGGACGAGGGCCCCGTGGCGGGGAACGTTGACGGATGCAGCTGTCAGGCACGAAGGCGGCGAACTTGAGAACCGATCGCCGACGCAAAGTGTTCTTGAGCGCAAGTGACTGACCTCATTGAATGAAAGTCAAGGGTGCTAGGAGGTGCTAGTAGAGTGATTTGAGAGCCGCGCGGCCTCCGACCGAATCTCATGGCTTTATCACTTCATCTCCACCGATGGTCAACAAGTCGGATCTTGTGCATTCAACGGTTTCTTAACCCTTCTTAAGTATAGAGGCAAAAAGAGATGACCATAATATCTCTGAATTTCAATACTAGCTTACGCTGAACTGAAACCGGCCGCCGTAGAATCTCGGAAGCCGCGAACGGGCCGTAAGAGGTATGCTCATACCAATTGGAGGGGGTTAAAGGCGCGAAGATCGGCTGGCAGTAAAGTGCCAAAGGCAAGGAATTAGGATACCGAGCGGCGCATGAGTTCTAGAGCAATAGGAAGAAGCTTTCGCCTCTTAGGTGATGACAGGTTGATGATAGATGCTCCGCAGTGCTAATCTTACACTCGTTGATTGAGTGACGGGCGGCCGGCCTGATAGAACAGCTAGCTAAAGCGAGGTAGATGTTCGCAGCGATCGGAATGACCGCATAGATCCTGGTGGATCCTGGTGGTCAGTTGACCCGCCTTTTGTTCGGCTCGTTCTCGACTCAAAGTGAGATGAGACATTACATGGGTCGGGCGAGCGATGGGGACTACCAGAGCGAGTCTGAGAGCATAAGATGAATAGGTTGGTTGTATCGTGAAGTGTGTCGTGAATGCGGTTAGGAACAAAGATTGTCACAGCACTCGCGAGTGAACGAAAAACGCGTGATGTAATCGTGACGTAGTGCGTGACACCAGCGATAACGGAATGTCACGCTCGCGTTCCGCCGGACGGAAGCACTGTATCACAAGTTTGTGGCTTGATGCAGTTCCGCCATGCGCTCGAACGGACGTCAGACTCAGACGTCACGGAACGGAGGAAGATCCTTCAAGAGCATGCAAGATCAAGGTTTATACCTCTCTTTGTAATCTAACGACAACGCCGAGCGCCACATGAGCGGAAGTTGCCAAACTAGCGCCTCGGCCGCCTACTACACCTTCAACTTCGCGGCTACTACGTTCCGGAACTCTCCATGTCATTGTAATGGCTACCTCTTCCCAGCGTTTAGGTCTCCACTTTCGGTAGCATGGCTCAGTTAGGACGCTAAAGTGAATGGCGTAGAGGCGGTGAATCGCGGACCCAACTTCGTGGCTGGATTAGAATGGGATATAAGGGCGTCATTGAGCTGGTATGGTCCCCATTCTTGAAACCTACCACCATGCCAACCCATACTCAGACATACACCTGGCTCGTCACAGGGTAAGCCCAACTTCTGAGGCTGTCGTTATGTATGCGGCTGACTCGCACTTCTACAGAACGTCGCGTGGCATCGGGCTTGAGATTGTCAAGCTACTTGTGGCCTCGCCCGTGAACACTGTCTTTGCTGCATGTCGCAATCCGTCCTCAGCCACATCACTCAAGACCTTGAAGTATGCAGCTACGACCAAGGGGACTTTGCACCTCATCAAGATGGATGTCACTGACGAGGCCTCTGTCCAGCAAGCTAGGGACGAGGTCGAAGACATCCTTGATGGTCAAGGTCTTGACTACCTTTTTAACAACGCCGGTGTCGTAAGTTACATATCTCAGCCACTGAACGCCACTCCGCTATCTAGACGCTGACGCCGCCGACTCCCCAGGCTGTTAAAGACGACCGGCCCTCAACGATGAACGCCGACGATCTGACGTCCACCATTCTCGCCAATGTCGTTGGTCCGGCGCTCGTCACGCGGACGTTCATTCCCCTCATTGAGCGCAGCCAAAGGAAGGTTATTGCCAATGTCTCAACGGCCCTTGCCAGTATTGGCACGGACTACGGTCCGCAACACCTCAGCTATAGCATAAGCAAGATTGCCCTGAACATGCTAGTGAGTCCATTCTCGTCCACCAATCTGACCCCTCGTGCTAAATCTGCCACTACATATAGACGTACAAACAGGTTAAGGAACGGCCTGACCTTTGCGCCGTCCTTGTGGATCCTGGCTGGGTCAAGACAGGTAAACATTGTGCTTCGTGCTTCGGATCAGGCTTTTTATAGTCTTCTCGCTAACCCCTGCATGCAGATATGGGTGGCTCGGCGGCGACTCTGGAGGCATCTGAGAGCGCAGCCGGGATGGTGCGCGTGGTGATAGGCGTCACTCCCGAAGATACTGGCAAGTTCATCGACTATACAGGGAAGGAGATACCCTGGTAAAAGAGCAAGCTGTTCATGATGTTCATGTGTTGTACATTTCGGACAGAGTCAGGGCGTGGATGCTCGTCCAACCGCGTGGGCGCGTTATTCTTGATATATGCTATCAATTTTCTATTTTCGCTCGATTAGTTTACATGTGTAATACGTATGGTGTCCTTCTCTTGAATTCCGAAAAAGAAACGTGAGTTTATGATGCATATCTCTGTCCGTGAGCACTGCAGACAAACTGCGATTTTTCTGTTACAAAAAGTGATTGAAGAAGGCGGACAGATGAAAGCCTTTTTCACCCATCTTTTGCTGTGCGAAAAGTTACTGAAAAGTTAAATTTTTGCCTCGGAGTTTGCATTTCTGTGCGGAGATTAGATAGAAACACGTCCAAATCGGGAAGTTAGAGTCCAAATTCGGTAACCCGTCTAATTTACCAGCGCAAAATTGACGCAAATGTTGGCTAAAAGAATACCTTTTCCTGTGCAGAAGGGGGTTCCAAAACTCGGAGGAAAAGGCTTTCATCTCGCCGCCTCTTTCTCTCGGTTTC